ATCCTCTACATCTCAAGGCAAAACATGGGTTTATTGCTAGCAGACGGGCCATCGATGGGTACAGGTTCGATTCCCGGCACATCTGGGTTGTACACATATGGGTTTGAGCAGCTTTCCCTAAAAGGGTTTAAATACTTCCTCCTGTGATACTCCGTAAAAAAATGCATCCGGCGCGGCGTAGAAAATTGCAAAAAACACAATTCAAGTTTGAAAAAGTAATTATCATCGTGTAAAAGTTTAGACTGATAAACAACAGCTATGGATTTCATCCTACATCATAGAAGGTGACAAATTTTGGCACTAAAACTTTAAATTTTGGAGGGAATATTTAAACGTTTTCGTTCATTGAACGAAATAACTCTTAAGTTTACGGCATCGAGAATAAAACTATTTTGTTATGTTGAAGAGCAATATCTCTTGAAAACGAGGACGTAGCATTGAGAAACTCAACAGAATACAAGCAAATCCTATTTTCATAAGAGGGCGGCGAGCGGGGAAAAGCTTCACATGTTAAATCTCTACTCAATAGAAAAGCTAGGAGCTACTTCAATAAACATGATCTGCTTGCTCAATTACAAAGATTGTGACTGGTACAATAGTTTTAAACAATAAAATTGGCTAACTTTATAGTGAAATTGTATTTTAGACATTTTAGTATTGATAATTATTTTTTCCTTGTAATCATCGATATTTTTTAATATTTTCCAAAGAGCTTATTTGAAATGCGTTTTTTATATCGATTAGTCGGGTCCAACCAGAACTGTTGGTTCACCTGATGACATAACCAAGCAAACATGGAATAATACTGATACGTAGGATATCAAGGAATATAAAGGGTATGTAATGTCCAAATCATTACTTTAAAAAATTGTTATAGATGTTGATACTTCAAAGTTAAAAATTGATTAAATAATGAAAATAGTTTTGATATATCATTTATCGATTTGGTTGAGAAATACAATACATTATACTTCGATACTGTAAGTGTATAGGCCTATACACCTTCATTATTTTAAAGTGATAAAATAACTTTTTAATATGGTAATAAATTGTTGACTAAGAAAGACTTTATTATTACCTACCATTGGTAGTATTTTAAATGCAATGTTAATTACAACTGAAACCCTAAGGCACCTGTCTTGCACCAATTTATCCGTCGTATCTCAAAGTTTGTAAAAGTTCGTCTGAGGTTTCCAGGAAGTTTTAGGGGAAAACTTTACCGAGAAGTGATTAATATCTGAAAGAGTTCATTAATAACTGCAGTATTATTTAGTTCTATACCTTATCTTACCTATCTAAGGATTTATCTCTGTTTTTTTTTTTTTTTTTTTAGCGAATTTCCCTATAGGGAAGTAGATATTATCGTAGGTGGCACGGTGGTAAGACCTAGGCCCAAGACCGATTAACTTTTTCATTTTGATGTATCCAGAGGCCAAAAACACCATTCGTTCAAATTTGTATATATGTACCGGTACTAGCTGACCCGGCGAACTTCGTATCGCCTAAGTTATAGGTTTCCCCTAAGACAGACCGATTGAAAGAAAGTACCGTTACGTTTAATTTTCAAGATGATCTCGTTCGCATCGCTCAATCACGTCCTGGTTGAAGTTCGTTCGCTACGCTCACTCACCTTTGGGTTGGAGCTCGTTCGCTACGCTCACTCACCTTTAGGTTGGAGCTCGTTCGCTGCGCTCACTTGCCTTCAGGTTAGCTCGTTCGCTACGCTCACTCGCCTCCAGGTTGAAGTTCGTTCGCTACGCTCACTCACCTTTTGGTTGCAAATTAGCTGTTGTCATAAATGTAAAATAAATAATAGTGCTGCACCCTGTTGGTAATCCTTGTAACTTTAATGCTATTGAACATCATAGAACAGAACCAACTTGTTTAATTGAAACAGCTGTTAAGATTCATTAATTCCATTTCTCATAAGGTTAACATGGGAAACTCCAGAGCCACTGGGGCGGAGCCCTTTTAAGAATTTCGAAACGGGAAATAGTTTACGTCCGATTCGCATACCTACAGAATTTACACACCAAATTTCATAACGATCGGAGAAGTCGTTCCGGAGGAGTTTGCAGACAAACACTGTGACACGAGAATTTTATATATTAGAAGATATATATATGCCATCTTGGATCCGCAATATTGGATACAAAGTGTTTTTTTTTCAAATGTAAAGGTAAGGTTGTGACCCATCGTTTCAAACTAGATTTTTACGCTGAATACGATGCTGCAATCCGTTAAAAAAAATCTTGATCGATTCTTAAGTTATGAGGATTTTTTATAACTTTATTTTTAGCCCATTTTAACATCGTGCATTTACAAACTAAGACCATAATCTCAAAATAGTGCTAGATAAAGATAAGTATAAACCACCATTCATTGTTGACTTATTTCCACTTGGTTGTGATGGTTGTATTTTTTTCATGTATTTATGAAAATTAAAAACGGATTGAGTTCAGCATAAAAAAGTAATTCCAAATTATGGGTCACAACGCCACCTTCATAATTAATAACTTATCACATTTCAAGATAGCGGCCGAAGAAAATACATCCAACATAATCAAGTGGAAATAGGTCGACAATGAAACATTTCATTATCGATCTATTTCCTCTTGGTTATGACGGATGTATTTTTATACTTATCTTTATTTATGACTATTTTGAGATTATGCTCTTTGTTTGTAAATGAGTGTTGAATCAAACGGTCCGGTCGAATAGTCCACCGTGAAACGAACAGTCTATTTCATAAGTTTACTCCACAATTGAAAATTGTACTTCTTTTAGTTTCGACTGTACTTTTGGATCAAACGATTTTGGACCAAACGAACTATTTTAAAACTGGTGGCCAAACGATTTTGTACCAAACGAACGGTTTTACAATTGGTGGATCAAACGGTTGTTGACCTAATGAAATCATCGATCTCTTAATAATAGAGATCGATGAATGAAATACTCCCGATAATAACAGCTCAGGAGCTAGATGAAATGTAAGCTTGGATTTAACCTAACTTAAAAACGTGTTGTACAATACGTGTTATACTTATTATTTATAGTAACTGTATGAAAAATATAATGTGCAACACGAGTGCAAACTGCCTTTGCTGCACTCGAAGTGCCACTTCGCCTTCTAAACAAATCAAATAACAAATTCCGTAGATTTTTAAAACCCGAATTATTCTCTCCTGTACCACTGTATTCTCACCCCGTAGCGAAGTGAAAACAAAATATGTAAACCGGATATAACCACGGCCGCCTTTAACTCCAGGCCGCGGCCTTCGAAGTGGCAACGTCCTGGGTAGCTGAGTGGTTATAATGCTCGCCTAGTAATCAAAAGGTCGCCGGTTCGGTCCTGAGAAAAGTCAGTAGCTTTGTAATGGTTCGAAACTGGACCCAGCTGTTCCTGATCATTGGGCTTTAAATAAATGATCCTGGCTAGTATACACTAGTATATTTTGAATTCATATTGTTTCGGTTTTCAATTCTGTATGTTTTATTTTCAATATTTTAATAAATTCATGTTCATAAATTTAAATTTAAATCAATAAAATGCAAATTAATGAGATGATGTCACCTGTCTGCCATGTTCTGTCACTAAAACAACACCACTTGCGACGTTGTCAATTCTACCAGGCCGCGGCCTGTAGTTAATGGTGGCCGTGACATAAATAAACCTTCACGTGATCAATAAGAATAACAATAATTTATCCATAAGTAAGTGTCTTGATTAATGTTTTCTTTATTATGAAAGTGGTCAGTGGTCAATCCAACAGTAATCTTCTTACATATAGTGATTCATATTGTTTTAATACGATATAGCTATAATATCATTATAGCACGTATGTCATTGCGTTACGTCATTTGTCTTTCGTCTGCTTCTGCTTCTGTGTGTCAACCAGGGTGCCCATTTTATCACCAACACAGTGTTGACATTTTTTTTCGTAACCATATCGACCAATCGATTGTCAACCGACCGAACAGATCGTTTTCGAAAACCAAACCAGTCAACCACTGGATCGACGTCGACGACAACCAAACGTCGACCGTTTTCTGCTGATGTCCCGCCAAGCAAGAGCAAAGCCAAAGCCAATCCTCACCTCCTAAATTGCATTCCTATCATAAAAAAATACTTCTTGGGCTTCTAAGCCTAAGTTATTATTAGCACATCCAAAAAATATGACTTATGCTTCTGAATTGTTATGTGTGTATATATTCACTTTACTGTTGGGTTGGGATTGTTCAGTTAGTGAGGTCCTACATCTGCCACTGTTGTGTATCGAAATATTTATCTAGCATGCATTTGTGAGTCAAGACGGACTATTTATTTTTTATTTTGTATCGAGAGTGACATAGCCTATTGCATTGCTAAATGGCCAAATAAATAATTGAAGCAAGTTAAGCCTAATTAAATAAACACCGAGATGGTTCATTAACGAATAGGCCTATGGTAAAAGGTTTTAACTTTAAAACTTTCTATGAACTAATATATATAACAATAATAATAGGTAATTATCAGTTTTATCAGGTCCGTTCCAGCCAGCAGCGTATGAATTATTGAAATATACAATATATTAAACACCCTTGTGGCTGGAAAATGCTTTAGCTACTGAAAAAACAAAAGTAGCCTTTTAATATGATACAGGAACAGGCTCTCACTTGGTTTATTTTTAAGCTTATGGGTAAATGTGTAAAAGAGGACTGGCACAACACACTAAATGACTAAATAGTTCCTTCTCTTGAGTTTCGAGTCAAACTACCCTGTCGTGTTTTGTTTTCCTACTTGGTTTAATAACTATAAGGTTAAACGATTCTTCCTTTAGTTGTCAAATCATTATTTTAAAAGGTTAGGTATACCCAAGCAAGACGCGTTATTTTTTCACAAGTCTTTTTAGTGTGTTTTAATCGACAATCGATAGCAAGTGATGGTCGATACGACTACAAACGATATTGAACCGATATTTTGTCAACACTGTGGGGGTGATAAAATGGTCACCGTCAACCAGAACCAACATCAAAATGTAATGCTGTTATTGTAGGTCGAACGAACAATTTGGTTAACGTTGACTAGGTTAGTGTTAAAGTTGATTTCGATTTTTCAAAAGTCAATGTAAATAAGACGATGCTCTACACTTGAAGACATTGATCAAAGCGCATAGAAAGCATATACTCAGAATCAACTTTAAAGTCAGGGCTATTTGGTAGGTATTTAAACATGAATATTCATCTTAGCAGTTCCAGATTATCAAACTTGAATTTAGGATTAATACGAGGATTCACAGTGAATGCTGGTAACTATAAGAAAAATCATTATGACAGTTTAGGAGTGACGCCAAAAGCAACACAAGGAGACATTAAAACCGCCTATTATAAATTATCAAAGGAATACCATCCTGATCTAAACAAGGGCGATGAGGATGCTGCAGAAAAATTTAGAAATATCACAGCAGCTTATGAAGTTCTTGGTAATGTCAAGTCTAGGAAAACCTATGACAGAAGACTTCTTGTGGGATCATTTCACCATGATGAGACAGTAGAAAGTGCACCATATGATGACAAGTATCCCCACGCTTCATTTTACCATCACAGAAATAAGCCAACAAGTCAAAAAACGCATACAGGTAAATCTACAACTTATAATATCGATGAATGGACAGCAGCCCATTACAGTAAGACTTTTGATATGAAGAATAAGTTCAAAGCTGAATCTTATAGTTTTAAAGACCGAACTAGCACTGACACCACAGAGAACGACAGGTCATTATCAACTTTAGCAATGGTTCTTATTTTCTTTGCTTGCTTTATCTTTTACGGATCTGGTGCTACATCAAAGTTTGACAAAGTCTCTGATGATAGTGACAAACCAGATTGATAGCAAGGCTTTGTGTCTTCAACCGCCCTTGCTTGTAAAAAGTTGCCCTGTATAAATGTATTGTTATATTTAGGTATTAAATGTTTATTTAGATTGTTTAGTTTTTGTTTCATTGATTCCATAAAAAGTTTTTAGTTTGAATGAAGAAACATGCTGAAAACCGGCAATTCACTTTTATATTGTAGGCTACTTAATTTTTACTAAAAGATTTTACTCCAAGTTACATAAATGTTTCTTTTAACATAAGTTAATTAAACTGAATTTCAAACAACATGATGTACTCAGTTTAGTACATATTTTATTATTTTTATATTTACGATAGGGACGACATAAGTATGAGATAATTTCATAGCCTATTTGCCAGGCGGTCAGAGCCCGATTGAACCCAATGCTGCCCATAGGCTGCGATAAGATAAGTTTGTTATAGCTAGAGTTTTTAGCAAACGTCTATTAATAGGTGATTAAGACCCTGTGATAACATTTTGGTACTTTACTTTTAAAGGGAACATTCATTATTATCGGTGCTTTCTTTTCGATATTTATCAAAATTCGGTTGTTTGTGCCAACAGATATGGAAGTGTACCCGCCTATACGAAGTTTGGTTAGTTATGTGTGCCTGTCTAGCTTTGCAACTGACGATTAGCTGTTTCTTTAGCCAGTATCACTTGATAGGATGAAACTGGCTCTTGCAAGAACAGTATTTACCACAACTTAACAATACATTGCCCGCTTAACCAGTTTTTGAGGCAGGTATTTAAAATCTGCTAGGCCCTAATGTTTCCTTCAGCTTTGTGATAATTGTTGACCTACTTGTAGGCCCTAATTTATTTATATAAAGCCTACTTATATAGGCCTACTTCTATTCATTAGGACAATAATAGATTACAACTACGCCCAAATAGCCCAATGAATTGATTTCTGCAGTATCTAGGTTGTTTGGTGTTAAATCAGCTATACTTTTGGCATATATAGCTATAAACTCCGTGGCATACAAAGCCACAGCGAGACAAAAGGGGCCACACCGCTGTCCCGACAAACTGAAACAGCCGTCGCACTAGTTTATAATGCAGAGCCTGCGCAATGTTTATTTTTACACGATTATAATTATTGTTATAACCATGGCAATCGACTTACTCGTGCAACGTTGCTACACACCAAAACCGTAGCTTTGATTTTAGAGGACTGAGTCATAAGAGTTTATAGCTTACCTAGCCAAGAGTAGGGCCTACAACTGATCATTCTTTTGATTAACAAGCAAGTAGGCCTATTTTTCTCGCTACCAGGATCATACTAACCCCCAGAAAAAACTACAGTGATGTTTACACTGCCGTGGGGCCACGGCTAAAATCAGGCGTGTAGGTGAGAAATTTTCTCGCTTCTTGAGAAGCGTGGCCACAGTCGAGACGTGAGAGCAACAGGCTTGGCAACCCAATACGCCTGTTCCCCACGCCCTTTAGGACTAACCAAACCGTTTTTGGTTGCTACGCCATTTGCAGGCGTGACTAGACATGGTAAGGAGTTATCGTCTTCCGTCTCGTCGTTGTGTGTACTACGAGTTTAACTATTGTTCTTCAGTCTAAAAAGTCAGTGGTTGTCGTCTTAGTTTTTAAGTACGGTACCATGGCAAAAAAAAAATCTATAACATGACACAAGCCTAATTAATTGAAACAGTAGGCCTAAAACAAAGCAATCTTTAAAATTAACGGAAGGTCAAACAATTCGAATGCTTGAACTGTATCAAAGTGAACAGTTTATTTGTTTATTTGATATAAATATTGAAAGCTACAGCTTAGTTTCTTTCTTTTAATAACACTTAAATGTCGTGCTATTTCTTCAGATAAAATAACACTCAATGCAGCACAACCTTCAATAATTATTAATCTGTTGGCACAATCTATAACGCACCCATAATTAAAAATGAACACGCCTTTAATGAATACGCCCAAAAACTGTTTACACTTCACGGCTGCTTGTGGCCGTGGGACGGTACCGTGGCGCCACAGCATTTGCGTACGACTGCCCATAACAGGCGTGGTCTGTCATGGATGTGGTAATACGGCAGTGTAAACACCGCTTAACAATTCATACTACAGTGGACCCTAGATAATAAGTGGCTCATAACAAGTATAATTTTCAATTGTCCTTGATTAGGCCTATCTCGGTAGCCTATTATGTTTCAAAACTGAGCCCAGCTGTTCCTGATGGGCTTTAATAATAATGATCCTGACTGATGAAATAGCTGATCTTGGCCAGTAACAAAGTCACATAGATCATCTCACACCATTCTTAATTAGTAAAAGATTCTACACTCATCCCTCGCTCATATTTGGGTAATAATTCACACCTAGGTGGCATCCCCATCTCAATTAATTGATAATTATCCTTGACATTTGTTAATCCCCATGAGAGACTTTTCATCTAGATTCTACTGTATTCAAAATAAGTTTAGAAAATTGAAGATGTTGGAAGTCTTTTTCAATTATGAAACATATTTTCCAACCAGTATCAAACTATTATTTTTGATTGAGGACCTTCGCTGAAAAATATTTCTGCCAAATCATTCTTATAGATAGCCACAGCTTACTTGGAAATGTTTTATTCTCAAAATGTGACCTATGAAATATTGAAATAATATTCTTTTTGCTACAATGAAACATTGAAGTAATAAAACCGCTTGAGCTCCAAGACTGATTAAACCAACAACAAGAGTAACACATTCAAACTTATACTCACAAATAGCTAGTGTTTAAAGAGCTTAGTTGTAAGGAGTACTACACATAAACTATGGATGGCTCAGGGAGAAATTCATGGGATAAATTGTTTTTGTGAGTAGAACCGCTAATCAAGCACTTTGCTTCTTTTGTATTATTGTTACTGTAAATGTGACCACTGAAAACTTGTTTTAAAAAAGGCCTATTTGAATTTTGTGCTCATAGGCAGAAGGTGAGAGTTATTTAAAAAAGAAAAATGACTGAATACATGGAGTTCAAAGGTTACAAGGAAATCGTGAGCTGGAACAACATTTTTACCGTAACTATTTAGTATCCAAATCCTCTGCATTAAGCAAAACTACCAAAGACTTGGAAAATAACTACACAGATATATTATTAATGATATTATTTATCAATATACTTAGTTCTAAGGACAATCAGAACACAATTTCACAGTCACTCATACATAAAACTGAACCAGAACAATTACCGACCAGTTAAACAAGACTAATCTAGCCAATATATGCTATAAAAGAATAATATCAGATAAGGAACATTTAATGGACTCTCACAAACAAATAACCAACACTAAATAACACAGATGGGCTAACTAGAATGTGAAATGGAATGTAGATAAATTTGTAATTTACCCAAAGATGAAAAGATAAAATTGTACCCAAGTCTTCTTCCCTCGGCTCTTGTAGGCTACCCAAGGTTTTTTTACAAATGTAGTACTGCACTATAATCTAATGTTATTTAAATAGGAAATAAATCAGACATTGTTAAAAGAAGTTTTTTGTAAAAATTAAGCTATATGTAGGGGTCTAAATAGAAATTAATTAGTCTGCAGATTTGCTGCAGCAGGAGTATTTTTGTTTGAATTTAAAAAATATATACACGTGTTCAATTTTATTTTTATTTTTGCATTATGCTTTTCTGTGAGAGTAACGCTCCTTTTATAGTATGTACGGTTTTTTCTCTATGGCTAAAAACAAAAACCATAAGTGTAATTTTTTGTTAGTGGTGTAAAAAGAGCATTAGCGCTTTCACATTACATGATTGAGGCAATGGCAGAAAACCGTGCCCGTCCACTGCCACTGAACCAGAATGCCCTATTAATGTAAAATAAACAGACACAACGTAAAATCCTACTGGTTTTAAACAGACGGCAGAAAATGTATACTGTGAAAGGAGCGTAAGAAAAGTGTATATACCTTTTAATATTCAGAGACTACAAAAAGGATGAAATGTGTTTGAGAGTGAAATAATTTGACAAAACGGTTTAGCCTCCAAAAGAAATTTTGGGTTTTTGGAAGTAAACAAGTAACTTGACTATCATGACAAATAGTGTGTGTAAATATTTAATCATCATTTTATAATTATACAAACAAGCTTTAAAAGTAAACTGTTGTGTACCTGAATATAGGCTACTGTGCTAATTAAATTCCTCACGCTCAAAAATATGCAAATTACTTACCACTCCATTTCTTTCATTCTAGTTAGTTTTAACAAAATGAAACCATTTGAGCTGTGTATTACTATAGATGAACTAAATTTATCAAGATAAATTTTACTTTTACAACTTGAAAATAAATAGAAATTAAAATATAATGTTAAACAATAGCAAACTATAATATCAAGATCAGGATAAGCTATATTTAAAAAAATTTGAAATAGAACCCTTACGATTTTAATTCATGGTTCAAGCGCTCTTAGTGCAAGAGTTGTAATCAAGATTTTTGAATTAAATTGATGGTAAAGTGTATATCTTGCAAAATGTTTAAGCTGGTTCAAATTTAAATTAAGGAATTGGATTCAATTTTAATCAATGTTAAGGTGTAAATATTGTAACATACATAATGTAACGTATTGATCAGGATACCTCCAAACAACATTACCTTTTGTTAATATACAATTAATAATGACTATACAGTTGTGTTAATATAGCCTTAGTACTCAAAACCGTTGAAGAATAAGTTCAACATTATTACCATTTTATGATATAAGTTTCAGTGGTCTGTAGATGGACACTCTTAATATTAAACATCTCTTTATCCTTATACATTTATTTCATCCTTTCAGACCAAATCGAGATAAACGTAGGCATGTTTAAGTCCAGTAAGCTTGAGTGTGCTGATGGTCGGAGATTTATCTTTAAATATTTATAGGTTATTTTAAATATATTTTAAATATTTTTTTAAATATTTATAGGTCTCCTCTACAAATCACTATTTTATGGAGACAAAAAAGAGCAATCTCAAACTAAAGAGTAAGAACTCACTATAAAGATTAAGCCTACCTTAAAAAAAATTACAGACATTATTTATTCTACATCAACTAACTCAAGTGTTTACGGACTTGGAATCCAAGCTGAAACAAGCTTCAGATTTTACAATGGGAGTTTACCAGCAGTATCCAAAGTCAAAAGTAATATTTTATATCATCAATACCAGTTGATAATTAATCATCCAGGCCTACTGAAATTTCTTTGAAAAAAAAAAACACACAAAACGCCCAGAGGTCAAAGGCATGGGTTTCTATATATAGCCATGTATGGCTTGCATGCACTAAATCAACGGTAAAATATTTCACATGATGCAATTGAACAGTTTATTATGAATCGCCTATTCATGGTTAGTAATTAGGATTATTGCTTTCATCATCATAATCTATGTAGGCTACTAGTAAAAAATTCACAGTTTTTTACAGAAACACAATAATGGCTGAAAGACATAACACAATGCTATTCTTCAGAGAGAAGAAATTCAGTTTGTACAATAAAACACCATTATGTCATTTTACATTGAAAATAAAACTAAATAGCAACCTAGTATTTTATCAGTACTGATTATGACTTGAAAACATGAGATCTCTGAGAAAAGAAAACACACGCCAACTTAACAGACAAAACAAAAATATCACATACAGTGGATGTGAAATAGGTTCTCTTAACAAAAATATAAATCTGTGGAAAAATGTGTATATAATCTTTTTTCAAGGGATTTTTGCATTTATCCCTGACAAATTGAAAATAAAATTTACAAAAAAGCTAAGATTTTAGTAACTAAACTTATTGTGTAAAATAACATTTTTGTACAACTAAATCTATAGCCTAATAAAAATTATAGACATCCCAAGAACAAAACAACCTGCGCAGAAACGAAAAGATCACATGGTTCGCACCGGTAGGTGTGGCGTACCCTTCATACCTGCGCGGCTCGAAAAGGCCCAGGGTTCTTTTGTTTCTGGGATGTCTATAGTGTTTTCAATCCCAATATTTGTATTACCACGTAAACATTTTATGAAAATTAAATATAACAATGAATGTAATTTATTAAATATAACTATCTCCTTAAATAAAACCCTGAGAAAACTGATACTATAATTTTATAAAACCCATTTTCAACACGCTCACTGTTTATCTAAACTCTAAATCTACCAGATACTTTAGTATCTGGACAATACTGAAAGTCAAAACCGTTAAACCAGAGCATTCAAATTACAAAAAATAGATACAGCAATAAAAAATAAGGTAGAAAAACGAATTTTAGACACTGGTGCATTCTGTGTAGAAAATTGGCGAGAGCTTGTCCATATCATAGACAAATAGAATAAATATAGACTGTCAAAGGAAAGTTCCGCAGTGCCGCTAGAGCATGCTCGGTGTTCGATTCGCTGCCGTTGTTGGATCCTCACCGCATGCTACCAGCAGACACTGCAGCGATGTGCGCTATAACTACATAACACTCCTAGCGGTGGGCGCCTGAACATATGCTAACCGCAGCCACTGCTGTCGGTCTACATTTAATTCTTTAAGTCTATATCCATATCTAGATGGAATGTCTACTTCAGTATCCAATAATCAGAGAATTTTCTTTATTAGTATTTATGATATAATGACGTCACCAGCTCGGCTGGAATTTTGAGATGCTTCGTGACAAACATAAATGTTTTGTTTTATGTCTGTCTAGTTACACATATGGCTTCAATTATTTTTAATATTATTTATCTTTTATGTATATATTTTCATTTAACTTCAGAATGAACCATTTAAATGCCCTGATTTAATGTACAAAGTCAAAAACAAATATGAAGACCACAAACATTAAAACTTTGTTAAAATTCCTAATATTTTCACAGATGTAAAAACTAAGCCCTAACATACACGATAGATAGCTGTGATAAAATTTTACCCGTCTACTATGTACAATTCCAGTATAAATATGCACCCGATATTTAGCGTATTTCATCAAAATAGTATCTTAAAAAAATAAGTTTTCGACAAGCTATAGCCTGTAATGTTAAATCAAACATACATAAATATATTGGTTCTGTCCAGGACAGTAAGGTTAATAAAAATTTCTTAAAACGTGATTGTTCATAACAAGATAGTTCAATAATCCATTCTATTTCATTAAAATTGAGATCATTAAATCAAATTTAAAACAATATTGGAAAAGCATTCAACTATGCAGACAGATAGTGTCTTAGCGCCATCACAGCAAAACTATAATCATAGAAAAATAAAGTTAAAAAAATTACATAATTTTTGGCCGATTTCAGTCAAGATCAGCTGATCTCACAACTCGGTTTCTTCCGACTGTAAGAGTCTGGCCCTTTTGTACTATCTTTTTTTCCGTATTTTCTTACGACAACCTTTACCAAACCAGCCTGGATTGGTTATAGGAACTTTGGCGGCCGATTTCTCAGATTCGTCAGTCGATTTCCCATCGACTTCCGGACTCAGTGGATCTTTCTCGTCTTCCTCGTCACAACAGTAACAAGGCGGGTCCGGTGGATTTTCCGAACTCATTTTCCGATAGAAAAGACAAAACCCGGAGTGATAATGTACTCTACAGTACTTACAAAAGTATGGATTCTCTTTATCCTTTTCAGTATCGCTCTTCTTCCCACAAGAAAGGTCCAAGGGTTCTATTTGTATCGAGCATTTTTTAACGTTTTGATCGTGCAAAAGAAATTTTGAACTTTGCAAATCGGGCTTCAAAAAATTCAACGATGTGGAGGAGTTTGGATTGTTAGAATATTGTTCCGTCTTAATTTCTATGAATTGAGCAACCCCTGAGGAAGACGGACAGTTTTCTACGTCGTCAAAAGAAAACGGCCGCCAAATCCCTTTTGAGGGTGATTTTTGACAATCAGGTTTCGGTTCATCAATTTGATTGCAAGCTTTGCTGTCACCAGGTTCTGTTTTTACATCCACACTAAGTCCCTCTGTTTTTGCCACTTTGAGCTCAACAGTGCTTTCAATATCATTCACCTCCATTTTTATATTGACTTTTCCCTCAGTACTTTTACGTTCCTCACTACTTGTATTATTCGTCACCTCTTGACTGTCTGTTGTACAGATTTCCTCTTCGTTTTTCTCAGTCTCCTCGGCAGACACTTTTTCTGTTTTTACTTCGAGTTTGATCGAACCATCACATACTTTCTTTTGGACTTTTGTATCTGGAAATAATAAAAGAGTAAAGTAAAAATCCATCTTAATTGTAACTTAGTAAAATTAAAAACACATACTAATGCCAGAAAAGGCATATTATAATATCACACTAGAGATTTTATGGGAATAACTTTTCTAAACTATAGAGTGTTCAAGCCTTTTTTAAAGGGGCAAAAAAATAGTTTGTATAGGTTTTTTTTAATTTACTTAGAGATTTTTAATATTTAAAAAAATTAACCAACATTATTATAGTATTTATGAGGGAACTTTCACCAAACTTCTAAAGAAACTAAGATACCCAACCAAATAATTTTTTTAAACCCTCAATCACCCATAAAATCTTTAAGTAATTCTTCTAACATTGATGAACATCCCAAAAAATGCACAAGTAGTGGTAGGGCAGGTCAATTCTTGATAAATAGATTTGATTCTTGAGTTCTACTAATTAAATCTCAAATTCAGATCTTTTTTTGAGATTCAAAGATGAGATACGGCTTTGGTACATCACTATTAAAGGTTTTTTACTATTCACCTGCTTCTCCACTGGTCTGTTTCAACTCTCCGCTCTCCTCTTTATTCTTTTCCTCCTCTTCCTTCAACCCCTCTGGCCACCGTAGTTCAGCCGTACTATGCGTGTGCGTCTCTACAGCGTTCAGTCGTGTTGCGTGTGCAAAGATCGGATCAAGCTCTGGATCGTACTCTGGGATCGGAATGTTCAGCTTTGACATCACCAATGACATAATCTCGTCACATTTGCCTGGGCAGAAAAATACACCTTAATTGGTTTATTATTCTATAGTAGAACCTCGCTAATCCGTCACCTACCATGGTGGAAGGAAAATGCAAAGGTGTGCTATTCCTGTCATTTGCTGACCAAATTGCAAAAAAAAAAAAATGAGCTGATGTATTGCCATATAAGTATATATTTGTTTTGATTTGATTTTTATTGTTTTTATAATTTTTCTAAATGGTAAAATGGTGTTTGCAATCTGAGTGACGTCAGCATATGACGGGAATAGCACACCTATGTATTATCCTTCCACCATGGTCACCTAGGGTCCGGGAGCATGGTCGGATTATCAGAGGAACGCGTTTATTGACATAAAATCATAGTAAAACTGTATTTTGAACAGACCACCGATAACTGAAAACCACGGTTAATCCAACATTTATGTCATGTAATTTCTAACTCATAAAAAACACCTAATACTTTATAAATGGACTTTAATGTGTTCATTCACATATTACATAGTCAAAATACAATTAGTAGGCTATTGCGCAATCATGATAATTATGTTAAGTCAAGTCATTAACCTTGGTTCACTAATTAATAAAAACTTTAACGTTTGAAATCACAGCTTTCTTAAACTGTTACTCAAATAAACAAATTGCCAAACATTGTACAGCAAAATAAAGAACAGAACAATAGAAAGTCTAGTAAGCTACTGCTAGTCACAGGCTCCTGCTACGCTGAAGAAGAATGTCGAGAAAAACATTAGATAACGCATAAAAAAGTATAAAATAATAGTAGCCTACTTATAGATCATACTTATAGACTGTTAGTCGTAAAATACATCAATAAAGATAACAATAACATAAAAATACCCCCGCCGCAGCAAACCTGCCGACTAAGCGAATTTCCATTTGTCTGAATTGATTTTCAGTTAAATATATTTTAATAACATTAGGTTTAACGAGTACCTAGGTTTGCTGCTACAAGGAAACTAATAAAGTGTGTTTTTGAGTAAAATATTGATAGCTTAGTACAAAATAAATAAATTTGCCAAGTTTGATCAAAATATATTCATAAACAAGCAAACTACAACATTTGACAATATTCTCCATAAGAATAACATGGGAATTTTAAATTAACAATTTTTTTAATTTTCTCCGTTACTAATAATCGAACAAAAATACTTTTATATACTAAATTATTTGTTTTTTTAAGCTCTTTAAAAAGGTCTAAAGAGAAATTGGGAAATTTTGTGTTTTGAGGGTCAAAAGTGAGAAAACCCAATTTTTACCCCATAAAACCCCCCGTAAAGCCCTGTTCCCATGGTCCCCACCCATTCAACAAGTCTCCATGGTTCCATGGTAGTAACCATGACAATTTGTTGATTGGGTGATTACTGATTAGTAAATCACCCAATCACATAATACTTAAGTTGGTATGGTTACCAAATACCCAATCACAAAATGTGGTGACATAGCAAGCGCACAGCAGACGGATGTGTAGTGTTAGGCCTAAAGAGCAGACGATTGTCAGTGCAAACGGATAGTTTGACCTTGAAGCTTTGTTTGACATTTCTTTGCTTTGCTTCCATTTTATTTTTGTCAAATGAGCTGTGATTTTTCAAAAACAATAATTTGGTAGCCTACTGCATATAAATAGTGGGCAGATATAGTTAAATATACAACAAATTTCAACACATTTTATCAAACTTTATTGGTATTTTTCTTGGACAATGAGGTTATGTTATCGGAAGCCTATTGTGTCGGTGGCAAGGTCGGACCAAACGAGGAGTCAGACCATCCGAGGTCGGATTAGCGAGGTTCTACTTTATTGACGGTGGTTAACAACTCCAAAGACCTATCAATAAATAAAGTTGCACTTTCTTTACCTATTGAATAAAAGTATATGTTTTTACCCTACGCTATCCACTCTACTCTTATGGTATGCACTCAATATCGGGCAATTAACACCATGGCTAAAGTCGTACGCTCGATATCGGGTGTATTAGTAATTAGTAGTTTTAGCATTAGCTTAAAACGTTTATTTTAGCTCCAAAATCAAACAAATTGCACTTCATACAGTACTAATTCGCTTCAGAAACAAATAATCTTTCGATCAATATACATTTTGGCTATTTGAATGCCTTTGACAAGAAAAAAATCAATAACAATGAATGATGCATCAGCTGGTGTTTTCATCTTAACAACGCAATTGCTGATAACCGGCGCATTGCGCCTATTTGTTTTTTGTTTATTTGTTTATTTTCTATAGTTTTAAGCATGAATACTATAAAAGACCCGGTATGGATCATAAACATAAACAAACGACGCTTTTGGCCCGAAAGTAAACAAAACCCCTATACTAATAGCATTAATTAACATATGGTTTTGTTTACTTTCGGGCTTTACAGTAAAACAAATAATACAGTAAACAAAACCCCTATACTAATAGCATTAATTAACATATGGTTTTGTTTACTTTCGGGCCAAAAACGTCACTTGTTTATATTTATGATCCATACCGGGTCTTTTCTAGTATTCGTGGTTTTAAGTAACAAATCAAATGTGAGCAAGATTGCTGATGGAAACCCCCTGAGATGAACTATCTTGATCGAGCTAGCTGATTTGATTAAGTTGGAAACATGATCTACTCATGTCAGGTGTTCACTTTGGTAGTAAAATGTACTATAGTTCGGCCGCTTAGAAAACGACCTGCGCGCTAATGCTAAACCAATGCTGGAGGAGGTCGTTTTCTAAGCGGCCGACCTTTAGTACCTACACAGAATAAAACCACTATCAATTTTTTGTACAAGTATCCATAACTCTTTATTCCTGAAAGACACGTAAATTACATAAAAGGGTGCAGTATTTCCTGCCACTATGTAGGTAACACAAAACTATTTTACCTTTTGTTGGGTCAATTAAAAAGGTATTAAACCAATTACAATGTATCTAGGCATCAATGGTAGAAGTATATAGTATATTAGGTTTAAAATAAGTAATACTGTATTGTGAATCAACCAAATTTGAATTTTTCTCTAACTATTTACCCACCATTGATCTTCAGAGCTGCTTGTTCGTCTTTCGGCGTCCACTGTAAATTAACGATGTACAAGTTCGGCCTCTTCTTTACGGGCCGATCCATTCCCCAAAGCCATGTGTATTTTTTTAACACCTGTTACAAAATTTTGCTTTAGGTAACTTAACGTCTATTTCAGAACCTAGATCAACTGGGGAATCTATCACAGATAGATTTACTACAATAAATAGAATATTATTCTTAGTTTGTTGGCTACTCATCACTAAATTAAAATTATACACAATTTACTGAAAAAATGTGGAATTATATTTCGAGTTTTCATCAAAATCCATCTTCAGCCTTTGGTAACAACATATCCAAACTGTTTATACATGTTGTTACCAAAGGTAGAAGATGGGTTTTGATGTAAACTTGAAATATAACTCCACATTTTTTTGTGTATAATTTTAATTTAGTGATGAGTAGCCAACAAACCAAGAACAAGATTGATAATTGCATCACAAAAAAAACATACCGGAATGAATAAATAGAATATACAGAAATATAAACTATCCCAAGAATTTTCACTCAGGTTATCAGCCTATTTCTCTAGTTTATTCCATAACCTAATAATATTCTCTGACACTAAAAATGTTTCGGTTCCCTCAGGTTTTGGATAGCTATAATTTCCGCAAATTCCCGACTATAAAAGTGTAATTCTATTCAGATCAGATCTATAAATAATTAAATATAAGCTCTTGAAAACATGCTTCTCTGGAGTTACACAATTTTGAACTTTGTCAAATCTTTTTTTTCTGTAACATAAATTTGCACAGGCAATTTACTGCACATTAAAACTGACAAGGGATTAGAATCAAAGTCAAAATCCAGGCTTAGACTTGGATCTATATTCTTAAAAATCTAGGGGTTTTAGGGGATAGTGGAGACCCAACTGAATGAAATATTTTCCATGGATCAGGGCTATAGACACCCTGATTGACATAGCAAGGCTATCGTTCCAATAACGTCACTTCCCTCGTGCACCTTTCTCTAAAGTACGTAAGTTGTCTTCATGGTCTATTCTCACCTTCAGGCTGGAGCCTATACACAGTATAACGTCCGCCTGGTTGGCCGCTGCCGTTGCCCCACTCCAGTTTATGGGCCACCGCAGCGCCCCTCTCTCGCCAAAGTGTACGATTGTGTCGCGCAGAGGTTTGTGACACTTGTAGCAGCGTCGTGCTGTCGCGTGTGTGTACCTGCCGGTGTGCTCAGTGACGTCAAACAACCGCCAGTACTCCTGTTTGCAAGGTTGGCATACCTGTGAAACACCAGTGTTGCCAACTGATAATTTGTCAAATTGTTTGGTGTAGGTATTTAGGTAAATGCTAGTGATTTGTAAGAGGTCATTTATACCTTAAAGGGCTTTAACTTAAAAGGTAAAAAATTGGTTACGGTAGTGAAATTCCCATATAGGGAATAAGCTATTACCGTAGGTCTCATCAGTAAGGTGTAAGAGATAACTCAGGACCGATTTACTTTTTTGTTTTGAGGTCCCCAGAGGCCAAAAACACCATCCGTTCAATTTATATATGTATATAGATTCCTTGGGCCAAAATAAAGAGAAAATCAAGTAGCCTATAACAATTTTTCCAAAATCGCTTCGACAGGTATCCACCATTTTGTATATTTTATATAAACATTTTTATCTTTGGACTTTTTAAACTGATCTTTATAAAACTTAGAGACCCATGTTAGATAAAAATTCATCTTGATTCAACTTTAAATTTCATAATGGCTCCCATTTTAATTTTTTTAACTTAAATTACTCAAAAACCACTGATTTTATGAACAAACGTCTAGAACACTTTTATTTAGTATTTTTAATTCCCTATCAAACGATACCAAGTTCAAAAAGATCGAATAAGAATTAGCTGAAATATTACGATTTTTAGTTGTAAAATGGGGTAGAATAAGGCTAGTCAGGTTTGCCCCATTTTACAACACTAAAAATCATAATTTTTCAGCTCGACTCTCCTGAAGGCACACAGTACATGAAACAAGGGGAGTTAGGTCAGCAGAAATGTTTGCAGTCCGGTATTTTCCTTACTTCCACCCAACCTCCACCTATAATGCCTGCACTAGGCCATGTGCCAGCTTATTTGTCACGAGCTGAACTTTAATGTATAGGTAAACAAACACATTACAACAGGTTACGTACCTTGACGTCCACAATTCCTTAGTCGGTATCCGTTGACTATAGTTTCGACTACTACGTAGTCATTATCGAAAACGGAACATTAAAATATTACGTTGATGACACAACAACGATTTGCTGTTGATGAACAACAGTAAACCTAAGAAATTAGCTTCTGGTACTTATAAAATTAAATGTTCTGACTGTCCAAACTATTACATAGGTCAGACCGGCAGATCATTTAAGAAACGTTTTTCTGAACATTTACCTAAACCAAAACAAACATAACAAAAATCCAAGTTTGCTGAACATTTATTAAATTCAAACCATGCTGTTAGTAGTTTTAATGATAATGCAGAAATTCTACATGTTTGTAAGAAAGGCTTCATGCTAGAGTTCGAAATATACAAAGCCACTAAATCCGACCCGTACAACATGCTCAATGAAAAACTTAATTATGGTTCAAACAAACTATTCAACACAGTCTTAGATCACTTTGGTAACAATTATGTTGGCAACACGAGTCCTGGAGGCACAGCTGATAAACGGAATGGAGTGGGGTAAATAGTCAGTCATCGTCGTCGACCAGTTCAGTGACATGTGCCGGCCGGCCAATTATGTTAAATGTCTACCGTGTTCGTGTTATATTTGTTTGTGTGTTCGATGTATTTAAGATTTGACGACATTCAACGAATGTAATATTTTAACGTTCCGTTTTTGATAGTGACTACGTAGTAGTCGAAACTATAGTCAACGGATACCGACTAAGGAATTGTGGACGTCAAGGTACGTAACCTGTTATAATTGATTACCAATTCCGGAAGGCTTCAACATGAATAAAAACACATTACCATATTGATAGACAAGACAACAAATAGTTCACTGCATAAAAGAAGGTTGTAAGTGTTGTTCATAATGCTAAGCAATTCCAACATAATCTCACCTCCAGGTACATGTTGCCGTGAACTTCGCTGAGTGAAGCTCGTGGCAGTCCGCTACGCAGATGCAGTCCGTCACAGTTCTGTGATACGACGTGTTTAATGATGCCTCGGCGATACAATGCGTACAAAACCATATGAGTCAGGGTGGGCTGCGACTTACTTAGGTCGTGCTCACTGGGACAAAACGTAAAAAAAAAATACAAAGATCAGTAACATTTTCAAGATTTAGGGGATTTTTTCTACCTTTACATCCTGGACAGTAGGATTTACACATTATTTCAGGCTAGGCCTAGAGGGTCACGGCATTATATTTCACCATCTAGCTTATGTCACCATATTGAAAGTGCCTAAGAAATAAACTCACCCAATGTCCAAACCTTGCTGCAGCCTTGTCCATATACCATTTGAGCCACGATAATCCGGTATACAAGCAGCAGTAGACACGCCAGCGCCGCTGTATACCACCAGATGTCTTGCAGACTTTACAGCTCTTGCCAACATCTCACATTTCTGTTCCAGCACTTCCCGCGAGTCTTCGACCTCCTCACTCCGAGCTTTCAGCACCTTGCGTTTCTCCAGCCTGCAGAGCAAAGATATTGTATTAGTGTGTTAGCTAAGGGGTTGTGGGACCAAAGGGAAAATTAAAACTAAAGAGTTTTTAAAATATGGAAATTTTAATTATGTAAGTGTCATTGTACAAAATTTGAATGACATTTCATTTAGGTGTACTTTTTACTTCCTGATGTGGCCTATTAGTGTAGTTATATTTAGCTGAAGAAACAAATACTACTATAAAGGTACTGATGTTTTCAATGAGAAGAAACAACATGGTTTCTCCTTTGCTGAGCATGTGAATAAACTGGGTAAGTTCTAATAACTGAATGATAGCACAAGTAAACTGTAGGCTACGGTATAAGTTGGATGTCTAATACTTTTATATAATATAGCCTAATTTCGGATGAAATATTTTTGTCCGGATGAAATTAAATCATAAAATCCAGAAGCCTTAATGATGGCACTTTAGTTAAAGTTTGATTATAGATTTAATTAATTAGGCTAGCTTATCCTAGGTCTACCAAGAACTACTTCATGATTTTGTTAAATGTTACATATAACTTGTGACGTGATTTCGGGTAAAGAGGCAAAATTAAATTTAATATCGTAGTAAGATGTATGTTCCTATTCGGCTCGCCATAATATGTGACGGAAAATTCGGTGTTGGGAACACAACAAATAATTATATTGCAGTTTTCGTAAATACAGTACATGATAGTAATGTCTCACCCAAAATTAGTTATACCTTAAAATTTGTCCAGATAGCCTAGCCTACAATGAGATAGTCCAGGATTCTAACGTGTCCGTTAATTAATTATAGTTTCGAGATTTTTGGCTCCGACTCAGATTATAATTACCTACAACAATGCTAGTAACTATATTACCTTACCTTCAAAAAGTACCTAATCACCACAGCCACACAAAATATGCGTTGAGATTGAATTTTAAATAAAATACTGTGTGAATCAAATCAAATCATGTTGTAGACATTTCACAATGTTTTAACAATCGTCATAAAATACATAAATTAATACAGCAAATGAATACTTAGATGTAATAAATCAATATAATAAGTTCTAGTATTAAAAAATATATAAATATATAAATACAGGCACAATTAAATAGAAATATTTTGACATGTAAAAAAATCCTCCACTGTATATGGGCATTTTTGTATTAAATATGTTTTCAATATGTTTTCAATTTTGATTTGAAAGTGTTCAATGGGGAATAATTGGGAATAAGTGTATAATGGAACAATTTTACCAGGTTTAATAAAATGTGACTCGTTCGTTGTAGGCTACTTGGTTAACACCAAAGAAAAACGAGTCTTAATAATAACTTAGTCAATCACCAGAGTCAATCATAACTAAATCTGTTCAAATTTAGAATTAGTAATCGATTAGCCTAACGTGGTATCTATAAGATAAAATGAAATAATAAACGTTTGCAGTGCTTGGTAACCTAACCACCAAAGCCTCGTTTAGGACACAATCTACACTTTGCGCGTAGAATCCTGCCTTGAACACACGTGATCACTGATCAGTGAAATATGCCTTAAAATTAAGCATATAGGCTAACTTGTTACTACAGTAACCGGAATTGAAATTGAGCGTTGTCGTGTTGCCCTTCACTTAACGGTGTTTGTATAGGCTAGTTTTGTGGTTTTCAATATGGGATATCGTCAGATATTGTTTGATGGGAATTGCGTAGCATGCATTTGGTGGCTGAAGAACGACCAACTGCCTGGGGCGCTTCTCGAGCGGTCCTCTCCTACCACCCTGGCGTCGGGGTTGAGAACGATGGTCATCCCCTCTATATGATGTCACTATGTCCAGTGTTCATTGCGGCCTTTGCGTGAAACAAATCAACGTATTTGGGATGACCGTCAAAGATTACCCCACATTAAAATTTGACCCGTTACTAAATTATTGAATTTTTTCAAGTAACCAAACTTGCATTTAAAGGCAAAGTTTGAAATAACTAGATTTGTACCAACCTGGTGGTTACTTCTTTCACCACTTCGGCACATGACAGCAAAACTTCTTTTTCCTCCTCTGTCCTCTCACTTTCCGGCTTTTGTAAAATTCTTGAAACCTAAAAAGACAATAGGCTTAATGTGTTTTACAAGGTATCTTGCTGTATTTTATTATTAGTATTAAGAGTGTCTAGTTAAACCTTCACTGTGTGGCCCAGTATTTTTGCTTGACTTTAACATTGATTTGTTGGGGAATTAATTGACCATACCATAACTCACAGTGCAAAGTAAAATATAAGTTAAATAAGTTAGATAGCAAATAGATAAATTGTGAGAACACTCAAGTTGGGAGGACTAGTGCTTGCAACTACGCATCTACAACCCATAAGAAAAACATATAGATTACCTACTGGCTTTTTAGATGTGGCCGGATAAACCTAGGTCCAATAAAACAAAGCCTGGATAACAGGGGTTTTACTAGTTAGTTACTAGTTACTAGTTAGTACTATGTGTAGTTAGTTCTCAACCTTTTCTGGGACATCACCTATTTGTGATGGTTGACTTAACACATAGGCCTTAGTCCAGAACATAATTTCAAGTGAAAATTATTAGACCTAAAACAAAAATAAGGCCTATTAACTTACTAATTGACTTAGCCTATTAAGTACTGTTTATGTTTATGAAATCAACTTAGTTGTGTCATACTCAACACTGAAGGACTGAACTGAATGGGTGGGGGCTCCTGGCTGTAGAGAGCAATGCAGTGACCTTGCCGGCTAAAAATAGTCGGTGACTTAACTACTTTGTAACTTACACAGACACAGTTTGTCACTTGGATGTCTATAGAAGGTTAAAAACACTTTCAATATGGTAGCCAAGTGTATACAATAGGGTAAAAAATTTGAAAACATTTTAGAATTGACACTAAGTGAAAAGTTAGCAAAAAATTACAGTACGGTAACTGATGACTTAAGTTAAGTTAGCTTTCCTCTCCAGAAAAACATAGACACCATGATTCTTACTTAGCAATTTAGCCTTACCCAAACACAATAGGCCCTATCAAGAAGTTATTTGTGTATTAAGTTAAGAGCGTAATGACTTTGCTATTTATACACACAACATTTTTCATAACACCATAACGTAATTAGGCCTAACTTAGGCTTATCATAGCACACAGATCAACTTTTGTACGTTGTTTGCTTTTTCAGGTTATGTTATTTGCTTTGTTAACTGGTTGTTCACGTACCTGATCCGCGGCTGTGATTGGTATAGAAACGCCAATAGTGAAATCAGCTAAATAAAATAGCGAGTGGGAATGATCCATTACCCCTCTAGAGCATACATGAGCTATTTAGTATACTGTTTACAGCTGTAGCAATGTAAGTATGAGTTGTAGGAAAAATAAGTTGACAACTTTAAATTAAAAACGGTAACTTACGGTAGGCCTGATCTTATCAATGTTAACAAAAATAACTTAAAATTGAAGTTTATTCCAAAAGTTAGTTAGGGTTTGTTTGTTTTGATTTGATCATTTCCATAGCTAAGTTAATCTTTTCGACCTAACTTATGTAAGTTAAGTTAGTTTACAGGTCGGCCTAGCCTATCTTGTTGACTTACTTTACTGATAAAAATCATAGTGTAAAACTAATTCAGTCAACTGGCAGACAGCTTTAATAAATAATAAAAGATTCTCCATACTCATCTAATTTTAGACATAACCAATAAGATGGTATTTTTTATCATGTTTTTGTAGGATTATAATGAACTGGAAAAGTTAGGTACATTGCATTTACAGTGGTACTTTGATACCAAAACATATTTTGAAAACTAACAGGATATAAGGGAAAGCTGCTTTCTATACAAGTTATTCTTCGAAACCGGCCCGGGCCTAGTTAAAGCCTGGGCAATCTTTTGTTTGGGTTCAAATAGTTTTAAATAGGGTTCCGAGCTAACCAAACATTGTCAAAATAACCAATATTTAAACTATAGAACTTACCTTCTTAAATGACGCATTTCTTTCTTTCTTCACACAAAATGTGACGTTAAGTGTGGCTTTTCTTCGTAAGCTGGTCGTTTTAACTAAATCATTAACGTCCATGTTATTCTCCACCTCCACCTTCATTCATTCCCATTTCCACATCTGTCCTGTCCCAGACAATTTCCCATCATTCAAAAAAGTCATAAAACTTGTCTAAAATGTCAAAAAGATTATAATAGTTCATATATTTTATCATTAATAGTAAAAATATTTAACATTATACACTTTTACAAAAAAACATTTAACGCTAGGGATAGGTTGGTCGATGTTGTTAGTAATGTTGATAAAATGTGACAACAACCATTAGTTTGTTTATAGCAGTAGTTCTCTCTTCCAGCTGCATTCGCAAGTTTTGATTTATTGCAGACTACATACGACAACCAACTAAACAGCTGACTGTGACAGCATACTCAGTGCAATCAATCAAATGACTAGTAAATGAGTAACTGCTATATTGATAATGTTTGAAGTTATGCTCTGTTTTAGCATAGATCAAAAACTACTCCCTTGTTTTAGGACGAAATGTAAGATTTTCAAGAATTTCACTTTCTTTTATCATGGATAAAACTGGTTTTATGTAAGGTTATGTTTTATGTTCTATGGTTTTATCATAGATAAAACATACTCCCTTAGGTTTTATGTAAGGCCACTGACTTTTTGTTGTTATATCTGAAAATGTTATGTGCGTGTTTCTATTCGGTAACGCTTGAGTACATAACACGTGGTACATAAGATGTGGACTATTACCATAGAGATAAAGCATTCTTTAAATCATCTACATGAGGTCAAATTGAAATTTTCGTTTGAATCTTTGGTTATTAATAAATGGGCTATAATTAACAGCTGTGTTAAGGAACATGTCGGCCTTAGTCACTAATTAACAGGACTACAAGATCGCACCACTCATTCTACACACATCCTTCACTCGTATTTGGGTTAGAATACGCACATGGCGTCCCCATCTTAAATGATTGATATTGATATAGATATAATAATGCCAGAGGACAGGCAAGATCCTACAAATAGATTGTTAAGTAATGTCATATGCTATACTGCTCTCTTAGAGATTTTTCATTCTTGTGGATAGCTGAAAACAATTTATCAGGCTAATTTTATTTATATAACAGTAAAGTTATTCCGACGGGCTTAGATACGTGTGTCATTTACTAGTCAGTGGACTAGATTATCAGGGTAATTAATATCCATGTTACATATTAAAAGTAACTATGTAAGATGTACTGTCGAATGTATTCTCTTGTACATTGTATTTAATGGCCAATAAACTTCTTGATTCTTATCATTAAATATTGGATACTGAAGCTATATTCATTTTTTAGTCAAAAATATTTCATGAAGATATATTTTATGTATTTATATATATATATATATATGTATAAAATAATATACAGGGTGCTCAGTTGTACTTATTTACTTAAATATTTAATATATATATATATATATATATATATATATTTATGTATTTATGATAATTTCTAATGATATAATATCTAATGATAATTTCTCGCCACAATGACCTACTCAACAAAGACAAGACTCAACATAGACCTAGGACTCCCATCGGTCTTGGTGGTGTAGTAGATAGCGTTTTAGCGAACTAGGCTGATGAACAAAAGGTAGCAATAGAACAACCACACATAAAACACAACCAGAACATAATTTCAATAACTTTATCACTAAATAAAATAGCGAGTGGGAATGATCCATTACCCCTCTAGAGCATACATGAGCTATTTAGTATACTGTTTACAGCTGTAGCAATGTAAGTCAAAATGTAACTTAGTGTTATGTTGGTTATACCACAGGAAGCACTAAATTTTTGTCAAAGATTTAGCTTAGATTGTGATTACTTCTTAACTGTACACCTTTGGTTAGAATTTGAGGCATTTACAATTTTATTTTACGAACAGAACTATATTTTTTCGATTAGTAAACCTTCATTAGATTTTGTCATTATCAGCAAGTTTGGTTGGTTTGGTTAGGTTATGACAGTTTAATTGTATAACTTTTCTTAATTTTTATAATTTATTAAGTAAGTGATGTTTATTCTATCCATTTCGGCTAATGAGGTTTAGAGGTACTACCATTCCTAATACTAGGTTTCTTTGTGTGTAACCGGTTCCTAAACAGTAAAGTTATAGAAGTAACTGGATTAGGAACGTAATGTGGTGCCATTTGGAACAGACGTGCGCGGTAGCGGCACACGTCTGACGTACGAATAGCCTCTGCGATTAGAAAATCAGCCAGTAAAACTCCTTGGATTCCATGTAGACAGCAAGCTCTCTTGGAATGATCATATCAACGTGGTGTGCAAGAACTGTCAAGAGTAATTTCCCTGATCAGAAAACTAAAAATGTTTGTCACTTTGCAATCTTTTGTCGGCATCATCACCCACTGCCTGTTTCATACCCACCCTCCTATGGTCCGCTTTTGTAGGGACAATCAGCAGCATGTGGGAGCTGTTGCCAACAGAGCTTCTATTCCTTGGAGGATAATTTGATGACCAGTTGATTTTGTAATTACTTTTATGCCGCCTGACACTCATGTTATTAAATATATGTTTAAGTATTTTTTTTATTTTGTAAGTTTTTATATGTATCATTTTACTGACGCAACCTTTACAGACATGGTCAACGGTCAAGAGTATGATAATTATGTGCCTTAATTATACTACAGCCGCCTTTAACTCCAGGCCGCGGCCTTCGAAGTGGCAAAGTTCAAGAGGGGTTGTAACAGCTGTTTTGTTTGGAAGCAGATAATGGTATTTGTGTATTATTTACGAAAGATTGGTTACTGGACTGTGACAATATTGACTCCACTTAAAATGTACAGACATAGATTTTTAATTTATATCGTTTCGGTTTTCAATTCTGTATGTTTTATTTTCAATATTTTAATAAAATTATGTTCGTAAATTTAGATCAATAAAGTGCGAATTAATGAGCTGATGTCCCCTGTCTGCCATGCTATCTTATGGGACGTATGTGACTAAACAACTCTACTTGTGACGTTGCCAATTCTACCAGGCCGCGGCCTGTAGTTAAAGGTGGCCCTGATTATAAAATTCAATTTTAGTGATTTTGGTGCTCGGTTACCTTAAAATTCAGACCACGACTGGTAGAATTGGCAAAGTCTCAAGTACCCCATAGTGTTGTTTATCGCCAGACGTCCCATAAGATAACATGGCAGACATTTGGCACCAGCTTAATAATTCGCGTATTATCCATTTATTTAAATTCAAATTTATGAACTTAAACTTATTAAAATTTTGAAAATAAAACATATAGAAATGAAAACCAAAACAATAAATTGAACATCCAATTCTGTACATTTAAAGTTGAGTCAATACTAAACTTGCATAGCCCAGTATTCAAATTACCATTTAGCTGCATCCACACAAAACAGTTATTACGACACTACTTGCAACGTTGCCACTTCGAAGACAGCGGAATAGAGAAGAAGTTATTGCCCTATGGTAAAAACTAGAGCTGGGACCTAATAACTTTTCATTATGATGTCCCAAAGGCCCAAAACTCAATTTGTTAAAGATTTTACGGAGTCAAAGGTGGCTGTGATTATACCAAAGATATTTTAATCTATGATTATTAAACTTTAAAACTTAATCCGGTGTACTGGCTGTAATTATCTGGCCAATAAGGAAACAATTAGCAATGTGTTTTTTTTGTTTGTTCAAGTGTTTCAGTGTTTGAAGCTTGGATTGGCTTGCTCCGCTCTGACGCTCCAAGAAATAAACAAAAAACAAATAACAAACTTTGAATCTTCTTCAATTATTATTTTGTGATTTGATTTATGTTATCCCGTTACTGTGCTGTGCCTCACTTTTACCCATATATATGTAAGTAATTATATAAATAACACCTTTTCAAAAACTAATTTTTAGCTTTTCTTATTTTGATAAAAATCAGGCAGAATTTTGGTGAGCCTCAGTTCAGCTAGACTAAACGTTTTTTAGATAACAATTCGTTGGCTAGATCAGGGGATAGTTGATAGTTAAGCCGGGTTTACGCTATGTAGCAGAGCCTGCTATATAGCAGATTTTCCTAACATCTAACTTAGCAATGTTAGCCTATATAACATTTGCTAGAAGTAGAAAGTTAAGCTTACTTCTCAAAAGAGCTATAAACTTACAACACTGCTATATGTAGCAGATCCTACTATATTTAGCAAAAATTGTGCTATCCATCGGGAGTCGGTAAAGATCAAAAGAAATACTTGCTGGGCCTAAATCTAACATTGCTATATGTAACTTAGCAATGTTATAGGTAGGCCTACAAATATTTTTTGTCTAGCATCTAGTGTCATCAGTTCACAGATTTAGCCTCCTGGGTGCGAAAACATTTGCTCAGCGATCTTTGTTTACAATGGAAGGACTGGAAAGTGACAGTGCATGGGATCGGATGCTATTATAAACTTTAATTGAACTGTTCCGTGGACAACCGGCGTTTTGGTTATACCGTACGTAAAACGTTTTTGAAGCTTAACTTACCATCACCTTATTTTGCGTTTAAATTATGGATAGTCAGCTTGATCGGGTCCCGTGACAAATTTGCTAAGTTACACTACTAGTCACTAAGTTACTTAGCCTATTTCTTGAAGCAAGAAGCGGTCGAACCTAAACCTTAGCTTCCGCCTCTGACTTCCTGATCACCAGCTGTTGCGAACAATAGGTTTCTTTGGCGCGACATTTTTGATACAGAATGTGAATGAGGTTAAGTGCTACATTATAGCATAAGTTAGCACGAGCACCAAAATCCACTCTTAACTTGAAAGTTGCATTCAATTTGAAAATGACCCAATAAACAAAGAGATGTTAAATGGATTTTTTGAGACCTGCATATTGTATTTTACGCTTAAAACCTCTGGGATAGTATATTTACTTCTTCTCAAACAGGGCGGTACAGAAAACAAGTAACTTAGTGATTACAATCAGCCCAAACAGTTTTGGCTTCCGCCATTTTGGTTACTAATAACTGAAAGCAGTTTAACTTATTATAAGTCATTGTGGGTAACTTATATGCACAATAGTCTAACTATAGAAGGCATACACATAATAGGCGTAAGATATAGAATTCCCTTGTAAGACTTCCAGAACTAAAAAAACAACCAGCCATTTTGAGTTAGCAACTAAACATAAATTTAATAGGGTCAATCGGGGCTAATATGAACACACCAAAATATTGGGGCTAATATGAACAATGGCTTAAAAAGTCATTTATCTGGGATTTTTAATCATGAAAAAAATATAATTAGAAAGGAAATTTATCGTATTTTTTGTGTCCATAATGAGAAAACTTCAAATTTGACTTTTAGGTACTTTAAAAAAATACTTTGTTAAAACACTTTTTTTCCGCCCAAAAAACTTTTCCCCGCAAAGTGAAAACTTTTGTTATAACAATTTTTACATTGGTTGTAGGAATAATCTTAAGCCTGAATTTTGTTAAATAAGAATTGGGGATTATTTTCCTTTTCCCAAAGTTAAAATATATTAATAACAGCCAAAGTTATAAGCTTTCAAAGTTGGGGGGCTAATGTGAACAGTGAATGGGGGCTATTGTGAACAGTGACATGGGGCTATTATGAACGACAATATACATACAATATACATACAATAGACATAAGTATGTCTTCGACAAAATTGTCGAAGTTTTTGAGGTGTAAGTTCTTCAATAAACTTCTTTGAAGGCCTTACAGTGATAAAACAGTTTTAATTTTACAAAGACAACAGTTAAGGTGTTGAATAGGCCTAGTCCACATTTTTATGTTTACCTAATAGGCCTAAAAGTGCAATAAACTGTCATTTGCCTAAACGAACAATTTGCATTGTCTTAAATTATTGTTTTTTTAAGTGCTTTAAACAATTTGTATGTGGAAGAAATTTTTAATAAATACTCAGGTATGTTGACAGATAATTTTTTTCTTGTTTATATCTTATTATTAGCCCTGTATAATATTTATAAATGGTTTTAAAAAAAAGGGTTACCGTAGGGCGACCCGCGGCTCTCCAAAGATACCTTCATATCTCAAAAACTATTTAAGATAAAATATTGAGACTTATTGCAACTGGTAGACTAGACCCTAGGCTTGTTCACAACAGCCCCCACATATGCCTAGTGTTGTAAATAACAGAGTTATTAAGAGTGTTCACATTAGCCCCATGGGCTGTTCACATTAGCCCCTTTTAGCGGGGCTAATGTGAACAGTGGTTTTTAATTTTTTTTTAAATAATGGTTACATTTATGGTTTTTGTTAGTAAATAAATAGATTCAGCTAAAAGAGCTGTATACACTACTATTTTTTCTTTTCTTCTGTCATTTACCATTTTTGAGTTAATGTCAAAAGTTTACTTTTTTTGTTCATATTAGCCCCGGTTGACCCTACAATATTAATTTTACTACCTCCTATTATATCAGACTACAATTAAGTTCAACAAATTTGAACATATCAAATTAAAAATAAAAATTTGTTATAACAGTGGAAAAGTTGATCTTTGTCTAGTTTATTTCTCCAGACCAAGCGTTTGTTAATGCTCATCGGAAGTTTTTTTTGGAAATCCTTGGTCAAAAAGAAACCCATCGTTTGGATGCCGCTCACTGGGTATGCTAGGTTAAGAGGCATCCTCACCCCTGAAAAAAACATAAAAACATACGTTGCATTTTCCCCTGTTTTGAACGCCAAAATTTCAGTTAGAATTTCGGTTTATGTCTTAACTTGTTCACAAAGAGTATCTGCTTTCATGTATAACCTTAAATTAAGAATTTTTTACATAGAATTTTTTTTTATTCTATGTGAAAATAGGTCAATTTTTCCAAAGTTTGATAACAATTTCGACCGTAATAAAGTTTAAATATTGAAATTTTCTTGTAATAGATGAATTTTTCAGGCTTATAAAACAGGCTTTTATTTTTCAGGCTTTTTTACACAATGGTAAAAAGTTGATGGAAAATGGGTGGTAAATACCCCCGCCGCAGCAAACCTGCCGTCTAAGCGAATTTCCATTTGGCAGAATTGATTTTCAATTGATCTATTTAAATAACATTAGGTTTAACGAGTACCTAGGTTTGCTGCTACAAGGAAACTAATAAAGTAGTGTGTTTTTAGTAAAATATTGATAGCTTACTATAAAATAAATAAATTTGCCAAGTTTGATCAAAATATATCCATAAACAAGCAAACTACAACATTTTACAATATTCTCCATAAGAATAACATGGGAATTTTAAATTTACCATTTTTTTAGTTTTCTCCGTAACCAATAACCGTACAAAAACACTTTGATATACTGAATTGTTAGTTTTTTTAAGCTCTTTAAGAAGGTTTAGAGAAAAATTGGGATATTTTGTGTTTTGAGGGTAAGAAGTGAGAAAAACCAATTTTTACCCCATAAAACCCTGTTCCCATGGTCCGATCATGCTGGATCGCGAACTCATTCAAGTTTATCCCGCCTTACACCTTCAAACCAAATTTCATCAAAATCGGATAAAAATTACTCAAGTTATCGTGTTCACGGACACATATATATATATATAAATCTATATATATATATATACATATATAAAAATTTGAACGAATGGTGTTTTTGGTCTCTGGGGACATTAAAATGAAAAAGTAAATCGGTCCCGGGCCTAAGTCTTACCATGAGACCTACGGTAATAGCTACTTCCCTATAGGGAAATTCGCTAATAGCGTCCAAAACAGGAGAATAGGAACGAATGTTTTGTAGCCTGAGCGTCACTTGAATCTACCAGTAAACTCGCTACTAGCCATCCATTAAAACTCTATCTGCTTCTCTGACCTACGCAAGGTCGCTCTGCTCACTGTGGTAGTAGAGCTTACTGTCAAAGTCCAATCTATTACTATCATCATTACCATAACACTAACGTATATAGAGTCTATTTACTGTGTCATTACGGAAGATAGTAACTACAATCTTTACATGATTGGGAGTGGTACTGTACCACAGTACCACTCAGTACCAATGAGTATGTAAAGTTTACCATTTCATTCTCTATTTTGTCCCTTGAAAATATTTTTAGAATGGAAAATTTGCAATAAAACAAATGTAGGGGTAAATGGCCGTCTGTCTGTTACGCATTTGATTATTTTAGTTTTGTTACAACTCAAGAACGTCAAAAATAAATGAGCATAGTTATATCATAGAAACTCAAAAGTTGCCAAGTTTCTTGGTGGCAAAAGAATCAACTTTGCCAAGAAAAGGTCATACCAGGCGAGATGTTCTGCTGCAGTTGTATCCTACAACTCCCAACTTGCATTGTACAAATTGCACAAAAATCTGGTTAAAAAGAGTCCTGAATTTGCCTTTAGCAACACCTTCATGTAAGGGATTACATTGAAACTTTGAGGGCCCGTGGGGCGGATTCCTTAGAGAATTTCTGAACACCATATAGATGTTGAACTATAAGTTGAACAGAAAATCAAAACAAATCAAAGACTGCTACACAGTCATCACATGTTTTATTTACAGCATGAGATGAAAATAGAGAAGTCTTTACATTAAATTATTTTTAGTCAAGTTTTTTACCACTGGATGACCTCTAGTTTAATTAAAAAACTGTTTTTTTTATTTGCACTAGGTAGCCTACATCCAATAAATTAATGTATTGCCAACCCCATCTGCATTTACTGTAAGTTAAGTTAAATGCCACCAATCTCTTCCCGGGTATTTACACCTGATTGTTATTATCTATTGCATGTTGTTTCATTTAGTTTTTTTTTTTTTTTTGTTGCTTCTTATATCCATGCCCTTTATACCTTGCTGTATTTACTTTTGCATGACACCAATCCAGTATTTTCTGAGTAGCTCTAGGCCTAGCCAGGTACAGTAGATTTAATCATAAATAGAAAACTTTTGATGTTTTTTAGTAATTTGCAACAGTATTTATTTTAACAATATCAAAATGCATTTGTACAATGACCAAATTAGATGAATACGGTAATAATTTAATTTCATTCAGCAACCTTAAGTTTTGAAGGGATGCAGATGCACTATAACCACTCGACTAGACTACCCAGACAGTTTAACTTAATTTAATTTACCTATGTAGCCTATCTACCTACATTATATTCAGCACTTCTTATATAATAATTATAATTATATATAAATAATATATATATATACGGTATATGATATACTATATATAAATATATAATTATATAATAATTAAATAACGAGCCTTCTTCTTTTTTTTACTGTTAACAAATTAAATTTAGTAGTAATACTAGTTATATACAACTGGGATTTATATTGTTAGATCAATTTAGGCTCAACTTTTTCATTAAAACTATAAATGCCTAATTTAGTTAAAAAACCATGTTTTCTTGTAATATTTTTTTTATTTGACTGGTGCAATAACTTGATAGGTTAGAACTCAAACTTGTTGTAATGTTTAGGATGTTTACTGTTAATGTTCAATGTTGTAATGTTTACTGTTAATGTTTAATGTTGTAATGTTTACTGGTTTTAGACAACGAAAGGTCTTTAAAACTGGGTCCAGAAATGACTACTTAGCCAAACCAATACCAGACCTATATCTAATATTTTAACTAGGCCTATTAATTTCAGGAAACAGTGAGGCAGATGCCAGCTTAATTAAATCTAGAGTTAGATTGATTGACTTACAAAGATGCCACTTTTTTCAAGCAACAAATTTCTTTCCAAGAAAACCCCTCAGCGCAAAACTTTCCACAATTTCCCCAAGAGGAAAGCGGGAGAGGAAGAAAATTTAAAATTTGAAATAGATAAAATAAGGATAAATGTAGGTGAGCAGAGAGCAGTTTTTGAAGATGGAGAATGGATACCAGGTGAGACTGAGTCTGTTTCTTAGGCGTTTTCAGGGCCAGCGAGAGGAGCATGCGGCCACATGGGATGCTGAAGGGTCGGGCAAAACTAGCAGTGGCAAAGTGTCAATGATGTCATAAAAAATTTGTCAATACTTTTTGTGCTGAAAAATGTATTTATAAGGCCTAACTTATGTGGTCGCCTTTTTTAAACAGTCGGTGTCAGTTGTTTAGCGCTAGTTGTAGGACACCATCCTTTCAGAGTTGGTGCCCTATTATAGTTTTAGTAAGAATTCTGTCCCCTAGTTAAGCCCTTTTTGGGAGTCATAAGAAACGCCATATTTTTTTTATCACCTTCCGTGGACAAACAAGACCACCTACACCAATTTCGGGAATCATCTTTTCCTTTTGGTACTAAGGAAAAACTGCCACCATAAAGACGTGACTGCCCTTTTAGGAAATAAAAATAAATGCCTTTTCTCTTTTTGGAGCAATTTTTTAATTTTCAAGTCTTGTACAACCCACACTGCCATCCTTCTAAATTTACCGCTCAGAAATATTTGCTTGGTTTTGTAGCCTTCCCGCCTAACTTCTAAGGACTATATTATCAAATGATAATCCACTGTTAAACAGTTACAAAATGGCACAATCAGAGATTATTTGTTGCCACTAAATAGCAGTGTGCCATTGTCTAGGTTCAATGGGAAAGTTGTTGAATTTCTCTTCTCTAGATAACACCGGAAATTCGTAGAGCCACACTGGTTCACTAGTTTAGGTTAATTAGTCTGAAATTATACGATTGATAATGAATAGTTTACAATAGGCCTATTCTTATTCTATTAAGTTTTTGTTGGATATAATTATGATAGTCGGTTTTGTTTAATAACAAAAATATCACTGTGGGCCCCGTGGTAATGTGTCCTGTTCACCTGTTACCTAGTAAGAGAAATATTTATCAGAGAAATTCCCATGGAGGGAATTTTAAGCTATAATTATAGGTTTACTTTGTAAGGCCTAGACACCGTACCGGTTTATTTCATCGTTTTGATGTCCCTAAAGCCCTAAAACACCAGCCGTTCGGATTCCTATATAAAAAGTGTTTGTAAGCATAATAACTCGAGTAAAACTCATCTGATTGTAATTAATTGAATATGGTACAAATGTGTAAACCTACATTTACTCAAACGAGTTCATTAGACTATGGGGGGAGTTTTTATAGGGAATAAATTGGGTTTTCCCATTTTTTATCACAAAACATGAAATTTTGTAATTTCTTTCCAAACCTGTAGAGCTTTAAACAAATAATTTTAGGACAATGAAACATTGTTGTATTAATAACTAGCTGTAACCCGCGGGCTTTGTCCCGTTTAACTTCGTAATTTTCAAGATGATCTCGTTCGCATGGCTCAATCACGTCCTGGTTGAAGTTCGTTCGCTACGCTCACTCACCTTAATTTGTTTGTTTCATACTAAATTATATATGTTTAAAAAAAACCAAATGTTATTACCTTCCTTGTTACAGGAAACCTAAATAATCTTTTAACCTAATGATTTTAAATCAAAAATTAATCTGCCATGTTAAAAACAAAATCTTAGTGAAAATCCAACCAGACAGAGTCTGCAAGTTTGCTGCGGCAGGGGGTATCAACATATTTTGACAACAAACATTTGTCATATAAACATGCCAACATTTGTAACTAACTTTTATGAAGGAGTAGACCTACTATCTAGTTCTATTGAAGATCGAGTACAGATAGGCTAATAACCTTGGTACTGGAACATCATCATTTTATGTTCCACCTTAAAATCCTACTGGACCACATTTTCTTCAGACAAGGACTTGAAGGTCGCATTATTTCATACACAGTAGCTAAAAACACTTGGGTATTCTCAGGATTTGACCCTGGGATTTTGCCGACCGAAGCCCCTTGCTGTACCACTATACTAGATTTCTCTCTGGTAAATAGACAACTACAATTATTCTGTCAGAATAGTGAATTTTTTGCAAATCCTGTGTTTTAAATTCGTTCTAAGCCTAACCAAAACATTAACCTCACTTAACTTTAACATGTTCTTGGCTTATTGGTCAAGTTTTCCTCTATTTTATGACATACATTTTTCTCAGAGGGCGGAGTTGGCGGCCAAAGAGTTCAAGAGAGTCTACGCAGCAGACAGCAGCTCCAACAGTTGGAGTCGGAAAATAATCTGCTTAAACTGAAGATTGAGGTGTTGTTAGATATGGTGAGAAACAGTTTTTGATGCTTTGAATTTTTTCAATTGGCCTTTTGAGATACGATTATATTACTTAAAAAAGTATTATTTTAAGTGTATTGTTTTAAATTATTGGCAATTAATCAATCCAATAAAATATGGTAAAAATTATAAAACTCAGTTAGGTTTCAAGTAAGTTTTCATAAAGCAATACATATTCGTGGGTACGCAACCGATGTGCATATTTTAAGCCGGAGGATGAGTGTAGAATGGAGTGTAATGCGTTGTGAGCTTTGTTACTGGTTAAGACTAGCTGTTTCATTGGTCAGGACCATTTGTTGGAAGCCTTTCCTAGACTTCCTCCTTTCTTCCTTTGTTGGTAGACTTCCTCATGATTACTGGTTCAATGCTGAGAAAATCAAGGAACGTTATGGTTCAAAAATGGACCCATCAGTCCTTGTCAATTCAATTTTAATAAGTGGTACTGACTGACAACCTTGTGGTCTTTAGTCTTAACTCCAGTAACAAAGCTTCAACCTCATTTAACACTCAAATCCTTCAGCCATTAAAATCTGCACCCTGATGTGTCAGTTAAATAAAATCTAATCTTATATGGCTGGCTCAAGAACAAACTCTTAAGTTTTATGATCCAGTTGTATTTAACGTGAACATAACTACTAGGTGTTGTGAGAACAGTTTATTTAATAACACCTGTTAATTTCTATTAATTATTATCATATGTTTATTTGTTATTCTATGTTTGTAAAAAGGTAAATAAAGTGAGTTGAGTTTGAGTTATGACATAAAACAGTGCATTCACTTAATTCTTAGTAAAACAGTACATGGTGGCAGCGGTTTAGAGCTATGCCTCAGAAGAAAAATCCAAGAAGGAAACAATCTGACTATGAAGATAATGAAAATGAAAGAAGCAGAGAAAATGAATACAACAATTCAACTAAGAAGTCAATCATTGTATCAAACACTCATTCAGTTATTCAGCCTCCAGCTAGTTTCTCCTTTGTACCAGCAGATTGGCCAAGATGGAGAACACGATTTCAAAGATATCGGTCAGCATCTGGGCTATCTGAAGAGTCTGAGAACAAACAAATCAACACTCTTATATACACATTAGGTGAGAAAGCTGATGAGATTTTTGCATCTTTTAATTTAGCAACCGAATCAACGCTAACATTTGAAGAAGTCTTAGATTTATTTGACAAACATTTTATTCCACGGAGGAACTTAATTTTTGAAAGAGCAAAGTTTTTGAAGAGACAACAAAAAATTAATGAAACAGTTGAAGAGTTTATAGTTAGTCTCCATTCCTTGGCTAGAACCTGTGACTGGGGTTCACTTAATGATGAAATGGTGTTGATGGTACTAATACTGGGTTTAAATGATGAGAAACTTAGTGATCGCTTGTTGCTAGATCCCGAGATGAATTTAGACAAGGCCATTACAGTAATAAGACATGCAGATAACGTAAAGAAAGAGAAGGCAGATTTATGTGATGAGAAAAGAGTTCAAATTGAAGCAACTACGTCATCGAGTTCAAACCAAAATCAAGGATATAGGTTTCGTCAAAAGAAACAAGAATACCCAGCGCAATGTATCTGGTGTGGTTATAAACCGTCTCATCCAAGAAGCACGTGTCCAGCAAAAAGCGCAACATGTAACTTATGCAAAAAGATTGGTCACTTTTCGAAAGTCTGCAGATCTAAAGAAGCACAGGAAGTAACTGACGAAAATGAAGTAAGTGAACTTGGACCTTCAAATAATAAAGTATTCATAGGTACACTTGGGGATGGGTCAAAATGTAAGCCCTGGAAACTAGAATTAGTATTTGAGGGAAAACCACAAACATTTAAAATTGATTCAGGGGCAGATGTAACAGTAATTCCCCCTGGCATAGTTGATCCAAGTAGGATCCAGCCGACTCTAGTTGAGTTGTTTGGGGCTGGTAGAACAAAATTAGAAACTGTAGGTTGTGTTAGAGCTAATATCCAATACAGAGATGTTAAAATAAATCACATGGTATACGTAGTGAAGGGACTCATAACACCCTTGCTTGGTCGTCCAGCAATACAGGACTTGAAGATTTTAACTTTTGTTAATTCAGTTGCAGAGGTAGACAGTGACTTTTTTACTGAATACCATGAAATGTTTAGTGGTCTGGGCGTCATTCCTGATCCCTACACAATAGCACTTAAGGATGGCGCAAAACCATACGCAATTACCACTCCTAGGACAGTACCTTTACCCCTAATGTGTCAAGTGAAAAAAGAACTAGAAAGTATGGTACAAAATAATGTAATCACACCAGTTGAGCATGCTACTGAATGGTGCTCAGCAATGGTAGTAGTGCCTAAATCTAATGGAGATGTCCGCATATGTGTTGACTTAACAAAGTTGAATGAATCCATCCAGCGGTCTTATCATCCGATTCCCAAAATTGAAACGTCTCTCAGCTCAATCTCAGGAGCAAAATGGTTTTCAAAACTTGATGCAAACAGTGGTTTTTGGCAAGTCCCCTTAAATGTAAATTCCCAGGATCTAACTACTTTCCTTACCCCTTTTGGACGTTTTAAATTTCTCAAACTTCCATTTGGAATCACATCAGCACCTGAACATTTTCAGAAATGCATGAACAAAATCTTAGACAACCAGTCAAATGTCGCAGTCCATATGGACGATATTCTGATTTGGGGCAAAACGAAAGAAGAACATGATACAGTTGTTCGGCAAGTACTTGAAAAGCTTAAAAATGTAGGAATGACACTTAACAAAGACAAAACTGAGTTTGGGAAGTCAAGTATTAAATTCCTCGGGCATTTCCTCTCATCCGATGGAATTTCTGTTGATAAGGAAAAGGTTTCCGCCATTCTAAAAATGGACTGCCCAAAAAACGTAAAAGAACTTCAAAGGTTCAATGGGATGGTAAACTTTCTTGGTAAGTTTATTCCTGACAAAGCTAAGATTTTGGCCCCAATGAATTCACTACTTCAAGCTAACGTTCCATGGATATGGGGTCCAGAGCAGGCGAAGGCCTTTGATGAAATAAAACTCATTTTGACTAACTCTCCTTGCCTAGCCATTTACGATGTAAATCGGGAAACAATTATCTCATGTGATGCCTCGCTTCAAGGACTAGGATCAACTCTTTCTCAAGTTCAAGATGATGGTTCTATACGACCAGTATCATTTGCATCCCGAAGCCTTCTTTCTTCTGAAAAAAACTATGCAAACATCGAGAGGGAGGCTACAGCTGTTGCTTGGGCATGTGAAAAGTTTCAAGAATTTATTATTGGCAAGAGAATAACAATACAAACAGATCACAAACCACTACTTCAAATTTTGAAATCCAAACATCTTGATGAATTGTCTCCAAGAATTCAAAGAATTCGATTGCGTCTCATGAGATATGATTTTTCAATTACTTATATTCCTGGAAAGCAACTTCTAGTTCCTGATGCTCTTTCAAGAGCACCTCTCCCATTTTCAGGTACTGATGACCGTGAGTTAGAAGAAGTAACTCAAGCGTTTGTTCAAATGGTTTTGTCGTCCATTGATATAAACGACTGCATAGTTGCTAAAGTATTGGAGGAACAAAATAAAGATCCGACTTTACGTGAACTGAAAAAAATAATCATCCAAGGTTGGCCTTCTAAGACATCATTACGAGATGACCTAAAACCGTATAACTCAGTTAAGGATGAGCTAAGTGTTGATAATGAGATGATACTACGAGGTTCAAGACTTGTAATTCCGCCAGCTCTGCAGTCTTGGGCACTTCAAAGAGTACATGAAGGTCATTTTGGAATCACCAAGTGTCGTTTACGTGCAAAAGAGTCAGTCTGGTGGCCAGGAATTTCTTCAGCCATTGAAAGTATGGTGAAATCATGCCCTACTTGTATTAAACATTCAAGGAACAGTCATGAACCATTGCTTCCCACACAATTCCCTGACAGGCCATGGAAAACACTTGCGATGGATTTGTTCAAACTTGAAGGCGTTTGGTTTTTGACTGTGACAGATTATTACTCCAGATATTTTGAGATAGCTGAATTAGAGTCATTAACATCACGAGAAGTAATAATGAGATGCAAAGCCTTTTTCTGTCGACACGGCATTCCAGAAGAAATTAGGTCTGACTGTGGGTCTCAATTTCAAGTCCTTGAACATTCAGATTTCAAGACATTTTCCAAAGTTTATGGCTTCAAGCATATAACAAGTAGCCCAAAATTTTCCCAAAGCAATGGAGAGGCTGAAGCGGCAGTGAAAATCGCCAAAATGATTCTAAAGAAAAATGTGGAAGACCCTTATTTAGCGCTTCTAGCCTATCGAACGACACCCCTCTGGAATGGGTTCAGTCCCTCTCAGCTTCTTATGAACAGGCGATTACGGAGCACATTGCCTCAGACAGAACATTTGCTTTGTGGAAAACCAGATCTAAAGGATCTTAAAGGGAGAGAAGAAACATATCGTGAGAAGTACAAACACAACTATGATAGAAGGCACAAAGTGCAAACTCTCAATCCTCTTCATATAGGAGACCCAGTTTGGATTGTGGACCTTAGAAGACATGGCAAAATTGTGAAAATCCTGGACAGCCCTCGTTCATATATTGTTGAAACTGATAAGAGGAATGTGAGAAGAAATCGATTCCACCTCAAACTTGCCCCTTATTTAAGAGAGGAAAACAGTGAACAAAATTTGTCAGCGAATACACATCAAACAGAACCATACAACCGTCCAAAGAGAAATATACACAAACCAAGCTGGTTGAAGAACTTTCAAACTTAAAAGGGAGGATGTTGTGAGAACAGTTTATTTAATAACACCTGTTAATTTCTATTAATTATTATCATATGTTTATTTGTTATTCTATGTTTGTAAAAAGGTAAATAAAGTGAGTTGAGTTTGAGTTATGACATAAAACAGTGCATTCACTTAATTCTTAGTAAAACAGTACACTAGGGCCTATACATTTATCTATATAATTAATACGCTACATGAAACTTTGTCGGTTGAACTCCTCCGCCATTTCTTAACCGATTTTATCCATTGACGTCTCATTGGAAAGAGCGTGTCGCGTAGATTTGCAAACTGGCCTTACATTTTTGAAAAAGTCCCTTGGCCTCTGCCCCTTTGGCTTTGAAAGTTCCCATGTTATCCTTATGGAGAACACAATTGTTTACATTTTGATCAGCTGTATAATTTAATTGCTGTTATTTATTTTTCAATTCAATGAAACACGAGTACATTTATTTACTACAGTATTTGAGTTTGTGTAAACATAACCCCCAAGACGGATCGTGTTAGTATGGTTGTATCTTAAATTTGTGCATTTATCGTTGTTTTGTGTAGCTATAATGTGTTTAATTGTTGTTTTTTTATAAATACCTACGACGTGACGACAACGAAACATAGACAGGAGGCGTAATCGTGATAACGACCGTAGCTACAGAACAGTGGCGCGTAATAGGCTTAACTCATCAAGTCAGCACCTGACCCTGGACAATATCAACTATTAAGTTATAAATGCGCCCTAACACTACCCCAAAACGACTTTTGGTTCTCAATTGGCCCTCTATCAAACACCTGTGTTGCCTGTACAGCGAGGCATTTTGAGAAGGAGAAAACAGGCCGGAGTGCTTTAGGTTTATCAATAACGAAGATAAACATGGTCTGTGTTACACACCGACCGGCAATGTTTGAGTTGACTCTTTTGAACTCATTGTAAATATGACTGTTATTCGTTTTGAAATAACTCCTGTAATACTTTGCAATTGCTCGAATTCGAGCAACGTGTACACTAGTTTATTATTATTTCATCAAAAAATTACAAATTAAAACTGAAAGCATTCATTCAAAAGATTTAACAAAGTGATTTTATTGCCTACTTCAACTACTTGACAATCCATATTACGTCCAACATAGATTTGCTCAATGTATAGGAAAGACAGAAATACAAGGGTATTTTTTTAAGTAAAGGCCGTTTTTGTGTATAGCTCTGTAGTTCAGGTGTTTGGTGCAATGAGGCTCCTCCTTGCTGCTTACTGCTGTCCTTTGTGAACAGAATTAATTACAGTATACAATTTGTATCTGATGTGTATACTTCACTGCGTTTGAATTTTTGAAATTAAATCTCCCGCCACGTCAGATATGGGGTCAGTGATTCTAAGTCACCTGGTTATAATTGTCGGCATCGGATAAGTTTCTTGTAATCAACAAAAAAACTTATCACTGACCTCACTTGCACGCGGCGAGAGATTTGATAATTTTAAAAATTCACAGCAAAGCGTACACGTCAGCTACAGAGCTGCAAATGGTGTCATTCTATTATGTTCACAAATTATGCCAGTAAGCGCCTAAGCGATTTTACTCTTGGCATACGCATTGGCCTTTTTCATCCTCATCGAAACACTCTAAAATGTTTAGTCTCTATTTCATTGTAACAAACAAACTGGAGTTTTTGCTTTCACCCATCTTTGATAACATTTTTCTGAGTGACAAATTACAGTTTTATACTACAAAGTACCTCCAAATTCAATAGCTTTTCAAAGCGGCCAAACCATTTGCAGGCTGAACAAATCAAGCCGGAACTAGTGTAAGTCTATTGTTTGGTAAAATATAAAATAATATAATTATGTATAATACTGCTATTGAACTAGTTTTATTTTTTATTTTCCTTATCTTGATCTATTCCGTAATGCATGTTTAATTTTATATTTGGCTTAGTATTCACAGTTTTGCTGTTTCCATTGCACCCTTGTCTGTATTGCTAATTTCCAATGCTTTAGTTGGTTTTACACGAAAAAAGGACCTTGTGTAACTTTTTAAATGAACCTGTTTCTTTTGCCAGGATAATTTTGTATAGCCTAAGTGTTCAAGTTTGGTCCTTTTTCAAACTTGAGATTCATAAAAACTGTTAATGAATGAGTTGTTTTCAAAGTGTGTCAATTGATTGTTTGTGTCACAGGATGCTGCTAATGATTCAAAGAACTGCCAAAACAAACCAAAAACCATCACCGTCAAATTGAAAATAAAACAAAAAGATCATGACGGAAAAGATCATGAGCGAGTAGAAGAAATAAAATGTACAAACAATGAAATTTCTAGTATAATAGCGAAGAGGTTAATTGTAGACTATTTGAAAAATTGCTAGTTTTAAAAAGTACACTGCGATCATTCCAGCATTGGAATTAGGTTCTTCTGTTTGCAACCAGGATTGTGTTTGCACAAAACCGGTTAGATTTTATGGAGTGAATTTGCAGTTAAGTGTATTGACGTTCCATTTAAGTTGTTCTTGAATTCCAAAGATGTGTTCTGCGATTTATTTCACAACCTTTCTGAAAGATTTGGAGAAATAGCTTAGAGATGAACACTGAAGTACGGGATTGCAGAATTTACGATTACCTAACAAAGACGGCAATAAGTTCATCGTCCACGGTAGCTTACAAGAAATAGAGATTGGCTCTAGTAAAGATAAACAAAGATAAATCTCTGTTTGAGTATAAAGTTTGAAATGTTCTCGGAGAGCAAGCGGTCCCAAAAAAATAACCTGCACAAGAGGTTAATTGTTAGAGTCACAATTAATGTTAGAGATACAATCCGCTTGGGAATAGTTTCCTTTTTTTATGGTCTTTGTTTGCTTTTGTTAGTATTGTTTTCCTATTTTGCATACTCTGTTGTTAAGCACTAGTAGGGCAATGTTTTTTTGTGTGTTGTTTATCTTAGTGCTTGACCATTTTGTCATTAATATAGTTTTTTAACCAAATACATTTTGTAATGTAGGCCTACAAATTTAATTGGTAATAAAGCTGAAACATTTCAATTTAGTTTTGTAATAATACTGTAGCCTTTACTTGATTCTTACTGTAAATCATTTGCACAGTAGGTAAGTTTTATTTAGTCATTAAATTTTTATTTAGTTTTAGGTAAGTTTTATTTAGTTAGCAATTGTTTGTTTTCAACTTTTGTGTGTTTTTTTTATTTTGAATGCTGCACTAATTTACTTGTAATGCCTGAGGTGTAATAATTTAATTTATTAAATTTAACAGCTGTTTAAAACTTACATTTTCACAGCTGACAGAAACGACAGCGGAAGCACATTTGCAAGACAAAGAATTAACAAGGCTTCGACAACAAATCATGTTGTTGAAATCTGTGTAGGACAAACAGGAATGAACTTCTGCAGAAATTTGTACTGTTTCATTAATTACAATATTATAAATTAAATCAAATTTCTTTATTTTCTGTTTACACAATTGTCATTGTCATTATTGCTTTTATCTGTCTAACATAAAAAAATATTTAAGTAAAATCTAAAATAACATGGTCATCATGCTTTTTCTTCTTAAAAATACAATTAATTATATTGGTAGTAATGAATATATTGGATGTAATGGTTATATTGGATTGCAAAGTGTTTTGTTGTTGGAGTGTATAATGATTGCAAATGGTGGAAACTTATTAACAAATATACTTAAATTTCATGAACTATTGTCAGTAAGTGAGAGTTGTGTTAAAGGTAAATCTTTTTTATTCCAGCCCAATCATTGTGTGGAATTCCTCATAGTTTTACTGATTTGTTTCCTTGAGTTGTAACTGAATAAAAAATTTGTTTTCCTACAGTTACCTAACAATGTACATGTTGTCTCACTGATTTGAGAAAGCAAAGTGGCCAATTCGCTCACCAGTGAGACAATGTTAACATTGTCTCACTCTAATTACTTTGTCTCACTCCAGATTTGCAACGTGAAGGCACGAAATAGTGAGCGCGTAACATGCAGGCAACGTTGTATGCGCGCGAAATACGTTGGCAGCACTGGCTGTAAATCAGCTGGTCAGCTGTTGTACTGTTGTATTTGTCACTTCACATTAAATGTTATATTAAAAGTTCACTTCTGTGTAAAACTAGGTTATGTTTCTTCACCAATTTATTTGTTTTATGGTAACTGTAGGAAAAGTATAATGTGCAACTCGAGTGCAAAGTGCAATTGCCTCACTCGAGAAACCATTCCTCACTCGCCTACGGCTCGTAAGGGTTTCTCTCGAGTGAGTCAATTGCTCACTTTTCTCACTAGTTGCACAAATAACTATTCCACGTTCTAGTGATTTATATTTTTTATTGTGTCCCCTAACATTTATCAGCCTTGGTCTTGGCCTTAAGTTAGAATTACAAGTAATGAAAAAGTGTCTGTTGGATTAGATTAAGTTTAAGAATAAATCTGCATGTAGTTTATCAGTGTAGTCTTATTCCTCCTCAAACTCTAAGATTTCTTTTGGTTGTTAATTGTTTCTGATTGCTAAAAACTCATATTGATTTTGTCAAATGGGTGAATGAATAGCTTTTTTTAGACCTTACTGTACCAGTATGAAAAAATATTATTGTAGGTTAAACGCTTCAAAAAATGTTACGAATTAAAACCAAGGAAATTAACCATATATATATATATATATATTGTTTACTGGTTTTGAATAAAATTAATAATATTGTCGTATCTGTTAGTTTCTAATCCGAAGAAAGGTGGTTCAAATTTGCTTTACAGTTGTTGATACAAGTTAAAAAAAAAAAATATATATTTAGATTATTTACTGGCTTTGAATAAATTAACTAGGTGTACAATGCAGTTATCTACTTGCAATATTGAGCGGAGCCAGCATATTAATTCAATGTCAATAATATATTTGGTTCGCATAAATGGAATGCCTATTTACAGATTCTAAAGTCAATGTACGTCTGGTTCACGTAGACGGATTGTCTAATTGCAGTATCGAAACTATGTGTTATATTTGGTTCACATTAATGGAATTTCTATTTGTAGATTGCAAATAGGAATTGCAGTACATATTCAAAGTCTACATTAATGGCACGTCTTGCTCACATAAAATACTGTAAAAGTTATTTACAGTATCCAAACGCAATATGGTGCATCAGCCTAATTCCGGCAACCCTTATTATTGGTTATTCCTTTTGTAGTAAATTATGCTCAATGCTATTAATCCGATTGTTCTCCCCTTTTTCTCTGTACGGTTTGTAGTCAGCTATTTCAGACGTTTCGTTGACTAACATAAGTTTCGACTCTTGTTTACCTTTTTATTGTTATCTCGAAAATAATGCAATGGCAACCAACTAACCCATAAGACCCATGTTAAATATCTAAAAGTTTAAATTCACGTAGGGAAAAGTCTTGTGGTCCGATTATTACCATTTCAGATTTATACCTTCCCACGGTTGGGTACTATGACAGTGTTAAATTTCGTGCAGATCGCTTCAGCAGTTCAGGAGGAGTATTTGTAAAACAAAAGCAGGAGTGTAGTATAAGAGCTTCGCTCCGCTCAATAATATTGTTGTATCTGTTAGTTTCTTATCCAAAGAAAGGGGGTTGAAATTTGCTTTACAGTTGTTGAGGTTGTGAATTTACCTGTTAAAGCTATAACATCTTGCTAAGAACAAGAGAATACCCAAAATGATACAGAATAGAAAAGTGAGACGGCTAAATATTTCAATTTCCAGTACTTCTGTATCTGACGGAGATTGTACAGTTATGCAGCTTCACCTAAGTGCTGCCAATTGTAACAGTTCACTGAGGCAACCTAATTAATTAATCAGGACGAGGTTTGTCCATGAAAAATATGGTTGTGTCTCTTTGACTAAAAAAACTTCAATGAAAATTTACAGGTGCATAACCTATAAAAACAATAATTTGTGGCAAGTGTTTTTTCTTGTCATAAGACACGCTCTTGCCAAGGAGTTCTTCACAATACTTCAGGCTAGACCTAGGGGTTGCGGCAATATCAGTTAGATCATTGGTGATCTAACAGGATTTGAACCCGGAGACCTCAGGAGCCACTAGGGGACTCTACCACTAGACCAGCTTGCTCCCCCAGTGGCAAGTGTAGAAATTTAGAAAGTGTAATATTTTCATAGGATCCAGCTAAATATTAATTTGTAATTTTTAGACAGATATATTAAAATTACGTAAGACAAAGTGGCGTGACTGTTTGCTTTCCTCAATGCTGAATCCTAAGCCATCATGGAGCCTGAGCAAAGGCAGCAGACATTCAGTTTTTTTTTACATGAGGTGTGCACTTGCCTGAATTATGTACCAATTAAAACTGTCTGGCACATTTGCTTAAGAAAGGCATGCTTAAAGAGTAGAAGGTAAAATAGAAACATGAAGAATCCTCTTTGACATATTTAATCAATTGACACTAAAAAAATATGTCACAGTCAAACTTTACAATAGTTATGTTAACCTGGTCTATACAGAAATTTACAATGATAGATAATTTACAGAAGGACTCATGTATTGGGAGTGATTTATTTTTCAAATTCTCATCCTAGATATGAGCCTTTGAGTTCCATAGTGGTAGTCATTTTTTTACTCAAGTATTTGGTATCCTACCAATGGCCAAACACTCACTCACTTTCTTTTTAGCGAATTTCCAATATAGGGAATAAGCTATTACTCTAGTACTAACAGTAAGATCTGGACCCGGGACCGATTTACTTTTTCGTTTTGAGGTCCCTAGAGGCCAAAAACACCATCTGTTCAAATTCTTATATATATGTATCCGTTACAATAACTTTGATGAAATTTGGTTCGTGTAAAACGTGTAAACCTACATTATTCGAACGAGTTGACTATGGGAACGGGGGTTTTATGGGGGGAAATAGGGTTTTCCCATTTTTGACCCTAAAAACACAAAATTTCACAATTCCTTTCCAAACCATTTCGTAGAGCTTAAAAAAACAAACAATTTAGTATATTGAAGCGTTATTATGCGCCTAATGGTTACTAAGAAAATTCCAAAAAATTGTAAATTAAAAATTCTCATGTTATTCTTTTGGAGAATAAGTCAACTGATGTAGTTTGCTTGTTTATGAACACATTTTGATCAAATTTGGAATATAAATTAATTTCTTACTAAACTACAGTATTTTATTTTACAACAAAAAACACTTTTTTACCCTCCCTGCAGCAAACATAAGTACTCGTTAAACAAATTCTATTTAAATAGGGAATAAATGTGATTTTTTAGTGTAAGGATGTAAAGAATGTAAGGATAAAGGAGACATTTTAGTGTGAATCCAATCAGGCAAATGGAAATTCGCTTAGTCGCTGGGGTATTTTTCTTTTTTGAAATGGTCACTTCTGGTTCATTTGTGGGCAAAGTGGTATAAGTCAATTGCAATCACCAGGGATTTCAGAGGGAATTATTTTTTGCTCTCAAAAAATCAGCTGGTATCCTTGGCTACCATAGTGGTTCAAGTCGGACTTCTACCACTATTGCTGCAAATAACCTTACTGTACAACTCTGCACTTCATAGACTGCAGTATGATTAAACAAAATTAAGGTTGTAGTTTTTCTGATGTTTTAAGATTACGATTTTAAGATTCAGTGGCTGGGGTATGTGAGGGAAACCCCTTTCAAAATTCAATACAAAAAACACCTAAAAGAAATGGAATTTTATGAAATCGACATCAGTAAAAAGAAAACGAAGAAGAAAGATAATTTTAAGACAATTCCACTTCCAGCCTTTGTATGCTAGTCCTTCGGGCAGTACAGAGAAAAAAAAAACCAAGACATGTTAGATTCGCCGTCAAACATGCGTTCTACAACATTGTTGATACGCCATTTGCAACAGAAGAGCGTCCCGTTTCACGCTCAGAAGGAGGACGAAGATAATAAGTTTATATGGCCTACAGTTAATGCAACTCAATTATGTTTTCAGTCAATAAAAGTTAAATTGTGTTTAAATAAAAAAAATGTTACTAATTTATCTAACAGTTGTATGACAATGTTGCCAAGACAGAGTGGGTATAAGTCATTTCAACCCATACAGAACCACTCCATACAAAAAATTTCATCTAGTCCGCAATAAAAAGTTGTATACACAATTAAATAATACAGTTAAGAATACTAACAAACTTTAAATTAATTTTATAATTCATGGTAAGATATCTACAAACAAAAAAATGTTACTAATTTACCTAACAGTTGTATGACAATGTTGCCAAGACAGAGTGGGTATAAGATGGTATAAGTCATTTCAACCCATACAGAACCACTCCATACAAAAAATTTCATCTAGTCCGCAATAAAAAGTTGTATACACAATTAAATAATACAGTTAAGAATACTAACAAACTTTAAATTAATTTTATAATTCATGGTAAGATATCTACAAACGCTTCTGTTTCCCAAAATTAGCTTAGTGTGACTTGTACCACTATGGATCTCAGAGGGTTCATATATTGATTAACATATTAAAAGGTAGAAGCGAGATTTTTCTATTTAATTTTATTTCTGATTCTTGTAACCAATCAATTTCAAAATTTTTATACATAGGGTATGACCGTCCAAATATACAGCTAAAAAGTGTGTTCTATACGCCCATATGGCTGGATACTGATTTTTGTTATACTCCAAGTTAACACACAACTTTGGTCACTTTAGTGAAATGAAGTGTGAGTTTCATAAGTAAACCTCCAGACATGAGCATAAAACTGTATTAACCTCGGACCATAAACAATAGTGGCACTATTTGAAAAAATAACAAAATGTTTATTGTAGTTCTTAATTTCATTTGTGTTACTGAATTTTGTTTAACTCTATTTACAAAGCAACTCTAACTTAAAAATTTTCTTCATACTTAAACTCTTCATCTTCATCTCCAGAGATATTCCCATCAGAATCATCAGTATTTTCCGAAGCAGGCGATTCCTCTTCTCCACTAGATTTAATTTCTAAATTAATGACTAATGAATCAATTGCATCTTCCATGGGACCCTGATTTTGTAAAAACTCTCTCTCAATTGTTTTAGTATCGTCACATATTTTCTTCCAAAACTCAGTAGTAATTGATTCAAGTTTCTGTCTTGTCAAATTTTCAACTTCGTCCAATTTAAAACTGACATTTTGTTCCTCAACCCAATTAACTTTAGCTCTTATCAGTTCAATGCTGTTTAACTCAGGGTGATAAGGAGGAAGTTTTAACGCAGTGTGGCCATGCTCACCCAACATCTCATCAATGACATATCTTTTGTGGCCAGATTTGTGAATATCTATCAACTGAAGTAGCTCTACCTTCAACATGTTGTTTGAAAAAGGGACACCTTTTTTCATCAACCATGTGTGCATGTCTGCTTTCTTCGAATTGGATGTAGGACATTTTTCTACCTCTACGTTCTGATAGGAAGCATTGTCTATTACCAATACACTTCTAGGAGGTAGATTAGGAATGAGTTTTTCAGATAACCACTTCTTATAATTTGAAGGGTCCATGTCTTGATGATTGCCCGTTTTATGCTTGGCCTTCCACATTAGCAAACAGTCTTTAATAAGCCCCATTTCACCTCCGGCGTATAGAAAAATAAGGCGGTCTCCTTTACTAGGAACACACACACCTGATGCCAATTCATCTTGACAACCTTTCGATACATGGGTTAAATCAATATAAGATTCACCTGTGTACACAATTGGGCGACCTTCCTTTCGGTATCGAGCAATTTTCTTAAGATAAAAAAATCTTTTGATACAAACTTCTTGTTCCTCCATCAACAATCTTTTCCTTGTGTTTGTTTTCCGCCATTTGAATCCCATTCTTCGGAGGATCAAACTTACAGTAGATTTTGAACCCTTAAAATTTAGTTCAGCTTGCATTTTTCCAAGAATAAGATCCAAAGTGGGAAGCCGTTTCTCAAATAAATAAAAGTTGTGAACAATCCGCCTGATCGCACCTAGGTCAAATTTTTCTAATCTGATTACTCTTTTAGGCCGAACTCTATTATGTTTGTTGGGTGTTTCAAAAGACGAACCGCTTTTTTCCACTTTTGTTCTCTCTGCTTTTATCCTTGAGATGGTTCTTTCAGATACACCTGTAGCGGCGCTTACCCTTTTGTTTACTTTCTTAACATCAATCAAAAACCCATCCACTTCAGCCTCCGCTCTCATGAACTTCACAACGTTTGAAACTAACTCTCTAGCTTGGGCGGTCATCACTTTATTAAACAGTTTAGATCTAAACTTATTATTAGGTTGGCTATCCATTTTAACTCATGAAATATGATACAGTATTGTAACAAAGTAGCTTAAATCTTAATTGATAGCTGAATATACTGCAGAACAATGAAACTGCAAGAAAAACTTTAAACAGTTTATATAAAATTAAATATAGAATGAAAATAATGTGTTCTGCTTAGTTTGTTGTTATTTACCTGTACTCTTATTAGAGAACCAGAATGATAACGTATTAACAATGAACTTATGGTCTGAATTGATTATTAGCAATTTTTAGATTGCAAAAAAACAAAAACGGTACAAGGGTTCTAGCACAAATTCACATGCTACTACTGGCCATTCATCGGCGAATCTCAAATGAACGTATCAGCTGTAAAAGCTATGAAAATCAAAGGTTATCTTGTGGTTTACTAACATTTATCAATTAGATACTAAATTAACACTCTTAGCCTGTAAGTTAGAACTGTAAACTTACTACAAGTATTAATTTTTAAAATTCACTAACCAACTAGTCCTACCTTAACTCTAATTTTCAATGGATTTCAACTCCATGAGCAAAAACGCTTTCATATTCGGGTCAGATACCTTGGACAAAACCATCTCTCTCGCTTTCTCTCCGCTTTTAAACATTTTGGACACTTGATCTGCATATTCTATCCACACACAATTGGCACACCCAGACATGCAACAAGTAGTCGGCTCTTCAGGCAAGGTCAAGGTCAATTCAATGTCTCGCAAATCCTCGTTTTGTGAAGTTATGCCCGCAGATTTTGACTCAACCAGAGTCTTCTCCAGTAAATTGGTTTCAACCGATGTTACAGCTTCATTGTTCTTCCCCCGGTTAATGTATGAGGATCGTATATTAAAATGTGGAGAAGAATGAAGAAATCTGCAGATTCCTGGGGCTTTCCTTAGGTTGCTCATTCATAACGATCGGTGAATCTGAAACATTCAAATAGCCTAAGTTACAGAGAAGCACATTACGTCCAATTTTTTCAAGAGAAACATAATAATTCATAACGAACAGCCCTTACTGTCATAAAAGTATAGCCTAACTTTCGGGACTAAATGCACCGCTCTTCCAATGGCCAACACTTTATAATCGGCTAACTTACCATGTTTTCATTGACAGAGACTAACGTACTAGTATCTTTAATTGCTTTAATCAAATCACCGTTGCGCTTTTCATGAAAGTACGGAGATTTTCTATGGTATTACGTTGTTTCTATAGCCAAGCTACTTCAAAATCAAATCTATAAGTTACCATAACTCCGCCATTTCATGCAGATCCAAACTGTTTAAACTTCCACTTTGAAAAGAGTAATAGCATCTTTGGTTGGTGCGAACATGGTAAACCGTAAGGGGTAACATGCACAAGTGAGCAACAGTTTAGTTGAGTGGAGCCATGCGGTCGCAAAAAACAAACCCGAGTAAGTTACATAGTGAGCAGATTTAGTTATATAGTCTTTTGCTGGGTCAAGGAGGGGGGCTTGAATAATTGTCTGAGACTGCCCTGTAATTACGGTACCTAAAAGGGCCTAACTTACTGCATCACCTTAATACTGAATTCCTTTATAGGCCTACAGGATCAAGGTTAAGTCTTTATTCTGTGCACACTCAGAATCAAAAACTTCATAGTAATTTATCAAATAACTTTAAAAATAAAATCGACTGTCACAGTTCTTAAAAGTAATTAATTAGCAATAAAAGGAACAAACACAAAATATATATTAAACAATATTTATTTGGTTTGGATCTTAGAAAATTTTAAATATCAAACGGCAGCTACCATTTGTTTGAAACTCCCATAAAGAAAATGGAACTCTATTATTTCAAATGAAAAGAATGAAATACATATCAACTTATCACAAAACATGGAACACAAGAACAAAATAAAACTAAAAATAGCACTTTACAGCAATGGTCATAAGACCGTCTGACGGGTTGACAACATTTTCTTTTAAATACAACTAAAACTGTGATCTATCATTTCAGCCTCTGGATTGCTTATATAATCAAATAAATAGTAAACTCTTACCTTAGCAATCCTTATTATGGTTGTCCGATATTAATTTCAAACCCGTAGGTTCATCTTCAGTCGGAAGTTTAGGTAGACCAAATGCTTATTATAAAATCCACCCGATGGATTTCGTGGAAATGTTGACATTTAACACGAACACGACACACATTACAATTGACATAAATAATATTTGGAGTTTAGGGATAAAAACCATGGGATAACCTCACTTCATTCAGGGAACACGCTGCCGGCAGAACATGTCTGCCGGCAGCGTGTTCCCCGACTGAAGTGAGGTTATCCCACTGTTTTACAAAACCATGGTTTTTATCCCTAAAATCAAAATATTATTTATGTCAATTGTAATGTGTGTCGTGTTCGTGTTAAATGTCAACATTTCTACAAAACACATCGGGTGGATTTTATAATAAGCATTTGGTCTACCCAAACTTCCGACTGAAGATGAACCTACGGGTTTGAAATTAATATCGGACAACCATAATAAGGATTGCTAAGGTAAGAGTTTACTATTTATTTGTTTAAAACTGTGACACTATTTGTAATGAGCTATAATATTTACATTGTTATGCTGCTAGACTTGTACGTTGAATTCTAAAACCAAATCCCACATTTATACTTCCAAGCATCTCTTAGAAAATTTGCTCTTAGAAAACGCCAATCCGATTACCATTAAGAAAATCTATAAACTCTGAGAGAGTTAAAACAGATTTTAATAGCCTTTTTTTATTTGTGTTAAAATTGGACGAAGAGCAACAAAATGAAAAGTAAGCCTATCCTCATTCTCATTTAGATTGCATAAAGAACATCTAAAATTAGCGTCTGTCATCCAAGGTTTAAAATTTAAGGAAATAGTCTCTGTCCTTACTTAAAATATCCATTGTCTAACAATATCAGGAACATTATCTTTTCTTGACTTGAAGGGACACGAAAAACCGCCTATTATGAAGAAAGGTGCCTATCATTGAAGTCAGCTGATAGTCTTTGGTAATGCTGTACACTTTTCCCAAGAGTCTTCGATGGTTTATGGTATTGTAGACAGCTGTTAAATCTACAAAAGCGACACCTGTGATCTGTTTTCTCTCAAACCCATCCTCAATGTGCTGGGTCAGGTTTAAAACTTGGCCACAACAAGACTTGCCTGATCGAAAGCCTGCCTGTTGTGGAATAATCTTTTGTTCCAGAAAATCGCCAATTCGATTGAGTGTCAGACGTTCTAATATTTTATATGTGTGGCATAAGAGAGAAATAGGTCGAAAGTTCTTAGGATCGTTTGGATCTTTCCCAGGTTTGAGCAGTGCAGCCACACGAGCTTTCCTCCATGCCTTTGGTGGTTAATATGCATTTTAGGGTTTGCACGCGATTTTTGAAATTTTTTTTTTCATTCTACTCGAAATTTAACGCTGATTCCGAAAATGACGTTCTTTTTCCGCGGAAAACGACCATAACGCGGAAAAACGACCAAAAACTCTTTTTTTACCAAAACACGTCATGTGGGTACTCAAATTAACCGGAATATTTAGCAGATCACGACTATGCAAGAATTTTTTGGATCCGAGGTCAAATAAGCGAGATATTCACGAAAACGTGATACTACCAGCAATAACTCCAACTCACTAGGGGACCTAACGAGCAACATGGCAGTGCTACTACAACCAATGAATAGGTTGGTACTGAAAAATTTCCCAATTTCAAGCATATCTCCCATAATTCTCCCGACTAATTACCCATTATTTTTTACACATTAAATTACAACGATAAACCACGTTAGATGTCTCCCCCACCCAAAACCCCGAATTCCCACCTGTCCCCTAGTGAGTTGGAGTTATTGCTGGTAGTATCACGTTTTCGTGAATATCTCGCTTATTTGACCTCGGATCCAAAAAATTCTTGCATAGTCGTGATCTGCTTAATATTACGGTTAATTTGAGTACCCACATGACGTGTTTTGGTAAAAAAAAGAGTTTTTGGTCGTTTTGGTCGTTTTTCCGCGTTATGGTCGTTTTCCGCGGAAAAAGAACGTTGTTTTCGGAATCAGCGTTAAATTTCGAGTAGAATGAAAAAAAAAATTTCAAAAATCGCGTGCAAACCCTAAAATGCATATTTACCCCTTTGGTATATGCATTTGGCTTACGCACATGTTCATGAGGCTCAACAACCATTGCATGGTATTTTTACCTAAGTTCTTTAGTTGTTCGACTCAAGAAAAGTAGATGGAGGAATCAAAGAAATGGATTGCCTCAGGGTAGCGTCTTAGCCCCAGCTCTTTATAACATCTACACTATTGCCAAACACTACACGTCAGTATATATATGCCGATGATACGGCGGTGGCGGCACAAGGTAGGAGTTTTGAAGAGGTGGAACAGAAGCTGACTATGACTTTAAATGAACTTTCCCAATACAATGACGCAAATCACCTCAAGCCGAACCCTGCTAAGACCCAAGTTTGTGCCTTTCACCTAAACAATAGAGAAGCAGGCCGTGAGTTGAATGTGAGTTGGCAAACTGTATGGCAAAAGTAAGTAGGCCTAGATGCACAGCAATTACCAACTTTCTGTGCTATAATCAGTACAAGGAAGGCCACTTCATCAGGTGACTGTAGGAAAAGACGTTCCGATAACTGACAACAGAATTCAGCACAAACTCTGAAATTTTAAAAGCCTATTGGACGAAGGGCTTCTACTGGATATCATCCAAACCCACAAAGGGCACATCTAGAGGACAAGAGCTTTAAATTGATAACCAATATGCCTAATTAGGGGTTGACTTGCTGAATAGAAAAATCCAGCAAATTCTTTTAATAATATAGATTCTTTTCTGTAGGCTTAGGTTAGGAAAGAATGAGTATGCACTAGACTATAAACCATTCAAATGATTCAAATGATTTATTTGGCCATTCAGTTCATACAAGACAATAGGCTACGTCAAACAATACGCCAATAAATAATAAATAACATGCCAAGCTTCTTCTTGCATTCTTGACTAACAAAAACCGTGGAGAACTAAACTTATTACACAATTTATAAACTTACAATTTGCTGAACAGGTGAAATAAATTACCTCAAGTTAGTTGTGTCGGGTTAAGGTCAAACACTGTAATTGCAATGTGCAAAATAAAATAAACGTTTGTTTACAGAAAGTATTTGAAACCTAGAAAGTGTGAGTTGAGTAGTAGAGTTAAGAGTAGTGTGACGTTTCCGTTTGACGTTGCATTGCACTATTGCACTTTGCGTTTGCACTATTGCAGAGCAGACATTTTTGGTGTTGTTGGCTGTTGGTTGAGTGTTGGTTTTGGTTATGGTTGGTTGTTGTTGACATTTTATTTTGTTTCATACCAGTCAGTCCAAACACCAAAATAACCATAGATAGAAGAATTGAGAAGTCGCTCAGGCTCAGCACCATTGGTTATACATCTCCCAGTCAGAAGATGGGACTAATGAATGGGAGATCTATTTATTTATTCAGTCACGGCAATGCAGGTTTTTTTATTAGAATTCAATCGGTAGATTATGATTTTCAGGATAAATTTTACCAATGGAGGAGTGCTGAATTTAAAATGTTCCAGCTCCAAAAGCCGGTCTTTGGACTAGCTCTAGTCTGGTCTGATCAGTGATCACTCACTGACTGACTGTTTGTTTATTAGTGTTAGTGTTTACTGGATACTGGACTGGACTGACTGAACAACACGATTAACACGAAAACAAAAAGCAAAAAGGCAACATCTGTTCTGCCGTTCTGTCTGTGCATTGCATTCTGTCCTGTCTAAATGTAATGTACGTCTTCTGTTTCTTCCAATCCCTACTGTTAGTGCACTGTTTACAATTTTATTTTCTTCGTACTTCGTAAAATGACACATTCATCATTACCTAACTAAAACCGTCGATCAGAATTATGCACTGTTTGACTTGTTTGTACTTGCAGGCTCACAAATAAGTTATTAATAATGTGCTTCAATAATTCACCGTTTATATAAATTTTTGTACAGTAGGCCTACAGTAGTTTCAATATCTACAATGGAAGCATCTAACAATCAAATATTTTACAACAGGTAGGCCTAGGCTAATTGAGTTTTTTCGTTTTAAAACGTATCAAATTATTAGGTAGTTTATTATTGAGCTATTTAATAGTTAAACCAGAATTTCGGTCAAAATATAAACTGACATAACAATATGTAAGGCTAACTTAATCAAATTGGTTTTTCTTGCTAAATAAAAAAATAACTTAGGCTGATTAAGTTAGACCATGGTTAGACCACGTTTCCATGGGTTCCGACCATGGTTCCGACACTGGCCCGGCCATGACGGAATTAGTACATGAGAATTATGCTAGTATTTAGTACCTATTTCGTACTATTTAGTGCCAACAAACACAAAATTAGTACCCCACGCGGTACCGCATAGGCTAACTACTAATTAATTTAGGATTCCGGGCCAGTGACACGCTGGCCCGGCCATTTTCGAATTTAATCCTAATATGTAAACCATCATTTAGTACTTAAGTTATTTCGTACTATTTTGTACCTCCATTAATATAATTTTTGTCTCAAAGAAAACCAAGCTACGGGCCCGTAAACTGTACAGGTCAATGACCCCTCAGCCCGGCCATGTCGTAACCTGTGGTTATAAGCTATGCTACTATTTAGTACCTATTTCGTACTATTTTGTACCCCATTAAAATAAATTGTAAACCAAGCTACGGGCCCATAAACTGTACAGGTCCATGGTTCCTCAGCTTGACCATGTCGTAACCTGTAGTTATAAGCTACGGTATGCTACTATTTAGTACCTTGTTCGTACTTTTTTGTACCTTTTGAGGTAAGAAAAATTACCTCAAAGATAAACAAGCTAGCCTAACTTACATACCATTACCATTACCATTACCAACTGGCGATCGTTGACCAGATGTCTGGATTGATCTTGTCAAATAAAATTTACTTTTAAGAATTAATAAACTAATATTTACAGTATTTACACTACAAGGCGGCTGGATTCAACTCAAAAGTCCATTGCAGTAGTAAAGTATTCCTCAATGGAATAAAAACACTTCCTACTCAGCCATTGTTTTAGTTTGGTTTTAAAAGGTTCAAGAAGGAGTTCTTTAATGTGAAGGGGCAGTCTATTGTAGAGCTTGTGTGCTAACACCGGAAAGCAGTCCTTGGTCTTTGATAACCTACACCTCGGGACATCCACATTCCTTGCAGAGCGCAGGTTGTAATTGTGGAGTTGGTCTCGTGTAATATGAGGGAGCCTAGGGTCAGTTTTCAAGAGAAGGAGGCAGTCTAGAATGTATTGGCTATGTATCGTGAGAATGTCGAGCTGTTCAAAAAGTGGTCTGGCATGATCTCGTCTACCACTCGAAGATAAAATTCTAACAGCAGTCTTCTGCATAATCAGAGCTCTAGTAGTGTTCGGAGCATGGCCCCATAAGACCAAGCCATAGCTTAAATGGCAATGAAACAAACCAAAATAGGCTAGTTTAAGATAGTCAGACGTCACCTGGGATTTTAGTTTCCTTAAAAGACAATTAACTCGAGATAACTTTTTGCAAATTACATCAATATGCTGGTTCCAGGTAAGTTTCTCATCAATGGTAACACCTAACAGTTTGACTGCACTCACACTAGGCCCATCCAACCTGGCTTCAGGGCGGGTCCACAAGCTGCAGAGCAGCTGCTAAGTTTTCCCCTCATTCAACTGCAGTCCGTTTAGCCTAAACCACTCCTTAGCCTCCCCTAGGCAGAAATTCGACCCCGTTGTTAAATTGGCCATGTTACTACCACGATTAATAATGGTAGTGTCATCTGCATATAATAGGGCATCATAGCTCTCTAGGTTGAAATCATTAATTAAGATGATAAAGAGGCTAGGTCCAAGTGTTGAGCCTTGCGGAACTCCGCTCGTAATCGCAGCCACCCCGGATTTTGCACCTTGAATTGATACCACCTGCTGGCGGCCACTGAAGTAGGACGTAAACATCCGTTGAACAGCCCCCCCAGACCCGTACAAGGAGAGTTTCCTTAGAAACAATTCATGCGATACGCAGTCGAATGCTTTAGATAAGTCCAATAGTGTTAACAGTACGGATTCTTCGGTTTCAAAGGCATTGTGAATAGTCTCAATAGCAGCCCTCACGGCAGAGATGGTTGAACGTTTCCTACGAAAGCCATGTTGTGAGTTATTCAGCAGATTGTTGGTTTCAAAATGATCAAGAAGCTGCCTATTGATGATAGTCTCGAGCACCTTAGCTGGTACAGGAATGACACTAATAGGCCTATAGCTGTTTAATGATTCAGCATCTCCCTTCTTATACACAGGTACAGTTCGTGATATCTTTAGTTCCTTGGGAAAATGTCCCTGTTCCAAACACAAGTTAAAAACTACAGCCAAAGGGCGGGCAATAGCTCGTATAACAGTCTTCAGGAAGATGGATGACATCCCGTATACATCAACACAAGGAGAAGCCTTAAACCTATTTACTATATTTACAATATCGTCCGGGGTAACCCTTTTCCATTGTACCCAATCTTGAGGCCTTCCCACAAGTAGGCCTGCTACCTGTGCAGCTGCTTCATTGACCTGAGGTGGGGCATCTGCCACAATACGATTCACAGAGTTCACAAAATGTTGATTGAAAATATCAGGACTATGAGCATATTGAAAGATAACCAAGCTACGGGCCCATAAACTGTACAGGTCCATGGTTCCTCAGCTTGACCATGTCGTAACCTGTAGTTATAAGCTATGCTACTATTTAGTACCTTGTTCGTACTTTTTTGTACCTTTTGAGGTAAGAAAAATTACCTCAAAGATAAACAAGCTAGCCTAACTTAGCCTATGTTACATATTGTATATGTAATCATGTTATGGTAGTGGTTAATTACCCCTCAGCCCAGCCATATCATAGTCTCTAGTTATAAAGTATGTTATTATTTAGTACTCAATAATTAACAAATGATGCAGTTATTTGGTTGTTATCTCCAACTATTTAGTTCTTCCTATTAAACAATATGTACCAATCGTACAACCCAAGTAATCAATGTGTTGAGGTTGAGGCTATTTTGGTGCAAGGGGACTATGAGCCTACTTATAGTTTCCCAAGTATGTACGTACATAGGTGATAGTATGGTACTATACATGACAGCTATCACTTATTTCATGTCAATTGGACGGGTGGCGTCGTCCTGTAATCCAGCTACTAGGAGGTCACGAATTGTGGATATTTATGGGGATGCACTGTGGATGCGATGCAACCTGGTGTGGATTAACGTCCGCACTAGTGAGTACTACGACTATACGCAGTACTATCCTAATAATTAGACCAATTCGTTAATTACGAGGGAAAAATGTGGTTCGGATTCCACAATAAACTGTAGGTCCCTTAGTTGCCATTAGCTGTATGGGCTATTAATTAACAGCTGTGTCTAAGGAACATGTCGGCCTTAGTCACTAACAAGACTACAAGATCGCGCCACTCATCCTACACTCTTCACTCATATTTGGGTTAAAATACGCACATAGTGGCGTCCCCATCTTAAATAATTGATAACTGATAATTGCATATCATTCATCTCAAGTAAAATACATATTTTTTCTGTTTTTTATTTAATCCCTGTTTAAATTTTCATAGGTATCAACAAATTTAGGTCATTAGGACTATATGTAACCCAGCAGACGCACAGGCAGAGTTCGTCTATGTCCGCTGATTCCACGGACCAATTATTTATAACTAGCCATAAAATTATAAAGTTGGTTATGTTCGTTTTGTTAGTTTTTTCATATCATTCAACATTAAGTTCACAACTTTGTGAATTTTTTATTTCTGTTTTCTTAATTAATTTATCTTGTAAAACTTAATAGTTAAAGCAAAACTTTTAAACATTTGTACTATGTAGCAAATATTTTGGCATAAATCATTCAGTCATTTATTCATTCATTCATGTAACATGTAACTCAATGTAATAATAGCAATATTATCAATATGTAAACTTATGAAAGTGTAGCGTGATTAACCTTACAAAACTCGTTTTGGCTGTAATAAAATTTGTAGATATTAGCCTAGACACCTATTTATTATGAGTATTTTTACCTTTTTTGGTAGCCTAAGGTGTCCAAAATCCTTATCTTCTGCGAGACGCGTTTCGCATTAATTACAATGCATCTTCAGTCGCTGTCATTGTCAGGTCTCAACATTGCCCACAGAAGTGGTTGTCACAATTTACAAAACATATAACACAGTTCATAAATATGTGTTTCGTACCCCCTGTGTTAAGTAATTTAAGTTGGGTCGACCATTTTATTTCTTTAATTTGAGACATCCCCCTAATAAAACGAATTTTCTCCGTAGAGAATCCTGAAAAGTGGGGTGATATCAACTGTTTCCATATTTCATGTGCTCAATTTTTTACCGACAAAAATTGGGTTACCAGCTGGACAGCTATAATCTGCTTTGAATAGGCTAAAGCAGCAACACCATTGAATGTTGGTTAACGTATTTTAACGTGTTGTCTGTCAGTCACAGTATATGCCCCGCATATTAACCTTGAAGTAAACAATCCATTTGCGTTTTTCTCAATTGAAGTAGATCGAGTAATACAAAAGTTAACAAAAAAACATAAGGTCCGCCAAGATTTGGTATAATCTTACTACTTTAACTTATCATAGTCAAGGCATCATTATAGTTTCAAATAAATGTTTTGAAATATCTCGATCTGTCGGTGTCAGCAGTAAACATTTCTTGCATGCATTTATTTCATCTGACATTAGGCAAGTTTACTTTACCACCGTGAAAACACCATGTGCTTCATATATCACTTCCAAAGGAAGTTGTATAACAGAGCTGGCAAATATTATTCATATCATCAAGTGAATGTGTATCTGGATGGGTATCTGTTAGACCAAGCCTCTCTTTGTCTACTCTCCTCATAGGCATAAGATATCTTATTATTAATTGTCTCATCCTCCCGTTTTCAATATTTCTTCTTTGAGTTTGAGGCATTTTCTGTTCTTCCAACAACACTGATTACCTGTTTAACTTAGTCTTAACCCAAGGTCTTAACCTACTGAATATTACAACATTAATTGAGTTTCTTTTTATAAACAGCTGTTTTTTGTTTTTAAATTTGTTCAATGTATTTCTTATGGAGAAAATCCGACTTTTGAGAGAGTTTCACGCCCTTAAGAGTAGGAATTTTTAAATTCTAAAACCTTATTGCAAAACTACATATTGAGAAGAATCTTTTGACACTTCAAATGTTGAAATTGGTCCACAAATAAGGGAGGAGTTGCGTTAACAAAAAACGGCTTCACGTATTATATATATAGACTAGAGAACCCGTGCGGCTCAAAGAGCCGCATAGTATGAAACATAACACCAAGGAAAATGTATGCTTAAATTCAAGTAATTCTAGTTACATCTTAGAGCTGTTTAAACACTTGTTAGAAACTAATTTTAAATATCTATATTTGCGTTGTCAAGGCTCACCTACATTGTTTATGCTCTCAGTTTTAACTGATAACTTCTAATGAATGCTAAACGATCTGCTTCAATTCGAGTTAACATGTTGCAACAAAGTTTTTTAGCATTGAGAATTAAAGAAAACTGTTACCTTACTGATAAACTGTGTTAAGTCATTTAAGCTGGATCATTTTATTTCTTTGATTTGAGACATCCCCCTAATCAAACGAATTTTTTCCGTAGAGAATCCTGAAAAGTGGGATGATATCAACCATTTCATATGCTCCATTTTTTACCCAAAAACTCTAGGTTACCAACTGGACAGCCATAATCTGCTTTGAATAGGCTAAAGAAGCGACACCGTTGAAAGTTGGTTAACGTATCTTAACGTGTTGTCTGTCAGTCACAGTATATGCCCCGCATCAGAAAATTCTCACGTTGTTTAGTGGAGTTTCTCTTAATACCTGTCCCAAAGTTTGAAAGTATGGATTCATTTGTCAAAATAGGTTGGATAACTCTTCTAGCTATAGGATTTGGATAGCAATTTTCATTTTCTCTTTTTGAACATCGTATATTTGACTCTCCTGAATCATAAAAATAAACTTGACCGTAACCACTCGATCGTTGAATACATAAACCCTAATTCCTTCACTTATGTTAGGTCTAATATATTGCCACTAAAACTTTCAATAGTAAATGAGTTTTTGAAACTTCTTATTTTTGAATTGAAATGTCTGGATTGTGTTGGTGAATTCAGTCAAAAACTTTGTATAAGTTTGTCAGAGCAACTGGCAACATAACATGGAAGTAAACAATCCATTTGCGTTTTTTCTCAATTGAAGTAGAGCGAGCAATACAAAAGTTTACAATAAAAACATAAGGTCCGCCAAGATTTGGTATAATCTTACTACTTCAACTTATCATAGTCAAGGCATTAATAAAGTTTGTACTAAATGTTTTGAAATGTCTCGATCTGTCAGTGTCAGAAGTAAACATTTCTCGCATATGCATTCGTTTGATCTGAAATTAGGCAAGTTAACTTTACAGCTGTGACAACACTATGTGCTTCGATTATTTTTTCAATTCCAAAGTAAGTTGGCTGCAGAACTGGCAAATATTATTCATGTCACCTAGTGAATGTGTATCTGGATGGGTATCTGTTAAACCAGACCTCTCTTTTTCTACTCTCCTCATACGCATAAAGATATCTTATTATTAATTGTCTCCTCCTCCCGTTTTCAATATTTCTTCTTTGAACTTGAGCATTTTCTGTTCTTCCAACAAAACTGATTAACTGTTTGACTTGGTCTTAACCTACTGAATATTACAAACATTAATATTTACTCTCAAAAAGCTAATGAGTTTCTTTTTATAAACAGCTGTTTTTTGTTTTTAAATTTGTTCTATGTATTTCTTATGGGGAAAACCCGACCTTTGAGAAGGTCTCACGCCCTTAAGAGTAGGAATTTTAAAATTCTAAAACCTTATTGCAAAACTACATATTGAGACGAATCTTTTGACACCCTAAACGTTAAAATTGGTCTAAAAATAAGGGAGGAGTTGCGTTAACAAAAAACGGCTTCACGTATTATATATATAGATAGATAGATATTGAAGCCCATGATTTTCCAAACAAAATGGTATATAGAACAGTATAATTAACATTGTTTTTAAGCTTCTCAGATCCGTTTTAATAAAACCTTGCAAATGAGCAAAAAATAGGCAGACATTAAGGCCAAAACAAGGGACACTTGGAGGGTTAAACTAAAATACAGTACAATAAAAATTTGCTTCTAGGTGTAATAAAACCAATCTTACCTAATAATTATATTAAGTTAAGTTATATGTTTGTTTTATTTGTTCAAGGAAAAGAAGCAGAAGTCATACAGAAGATGAAGGGGGAGAGTTTACTCCATTGTCAAAGAGAATAAACAACTTGCATATTAACAACCCTGCTTGGAAGCATGTTCATCAGGTGCAGCTTTAAAAATATTCTATGATCTTAAGTGTAAAATTTATGTGCTAGTTGTTAACTTAATGTCTTTGTAGTACCCAGGGTTTCTTTTAGGAAAATGGCCCTGATCTCTTCAAAACTTTGATATCCAACTAGGGTATTGTATTTACTAGGCCTAAACTATCAAACCAAAACCACCAGTTTAGGCCTACTTTCAATTCAATACCAACTTAATCATATGACAAGTTTTGTCTACATAAGTTAATGCTTATAACTCGCAAAGTACCAATAACTTAAATTAATTTAAGTTAAGGTAGCCTTTAAGTTTACTCATCTAATAACTTATATAAAATTCTGACGTCACAGTGTTAATAAAAAAGCTCCTTATCTGCAGTGGGCTAAACCTACAAGAACATACCAATGAAAACCCTTGTGTGAAGAAACACTAAATTTTGTTTGATAAAGTTAACTTTAACATAAACCAAACCACCACATAATCTTTCAAAATAACTCATACTACATAATCTTATATAACATAATCTTTCAAAAACCAAAACACCCTCATGAGAAATTGTTTTGGGGCTTAATGTCATTTATGATGGCGTCGAACCATTATTGCCAGACTACTCAAATCCAAACAGAGGGATTTCATTACAGATATTTCTTTTTAAGTTAATTACTGCACTTTTGGGGAGATTACAATGTTTTCTGAAATATAACACATTAAACGTATACATGTAAACTATAGTTTAAGGTAGTATAATTTTATTTTTAGTTTAGGCCTATAGCCTACATATGCTAGGCTACTGCTAACAGTGGTGAGGTGAAAACCTACAGGAAATATAGCAAAATATGAATTTTTTATTTGATGTAAAAAATGTACATCAAACTCACTTGTTGGGAGCGACATAAACTGTCGGTTAATTACCTTTTTACCGTATGGATCTTATTGAACGAAGCTCTTATACGTCGACTCTTACGAATTTCGTAATGCTCAAGCTCCTCCTAGACGGCTGAAGCAATCATTTTCAAATTTGCATGGTGATAAAGACCATATCAGTGAGGGCTAACATCTATATGGCGTTAAAAAATCCTCCAAGGAATACGCCCCACTGGGTCTCAAAGTTTTAATCTAATCCTTATGGAAGCAGTAGGTATTTTACACAAAAACAAAGGCATAAGTTCAGCTGTTGACTTAAAGGAATTACTGTAACGGTTATCATGGATATTAGAACAGAAACGGTATGGATCATAAACTTACACAAATGACCTCACTAGCTCGAACCACTAATAACATTAACATAAGGTTTGTACGATTTTTGACTGTTTAATTTTAACCCTAGTAGTGGAGAGACCGATTTTCAGTATGTGCTTTGTGGAGTGGCACGCTCATTTTGGTGAATTTGTAAGGGAGTTCTTAAAAAATCTGTACAAAAATAGTATGTAGCCTACAGATAAGCTATTGAACCGTATATTCATTTTGTTTGTAATAGTCAGTAGAATTAAAAATGGTAATACAAACCAATTTTAGAAAGGTGGATTTTTAGAAGAAAAAAATTATATATTTTTCAAATTTTGTTTCAAAAGCAAACACGTGTCACATGTACCTAACGTAAATTTTTATTACACAATTCAAAATATGCAAACTGTACAGAATTTATTTCTCTACATAAATATATCATAATATACACAAAATAATTATTTTTATAGATTTACTAGCAATAATACCAAAAAATTGGAAAACGTAAATTTCTACAACTAGGTACACTTTGATGGATCCACAAATGCCCTCTAATAATAAAAATCAATATCATAAAACCATACATTTTTAAACCAATAATATCATTCTATATAAGAATAACTAAATAAGATAAGTAATAACTTAGAATAGTTTGTTTTCACAAAAGCTAAAATGTAAACAACAGCTCTTATAGCCCACAAAACATCACTAACTTTATATCCTATTTTGGATCACACATGTATAAATATTTATGCAAAATAATACATAAATATTACAATAATACAAAATACTAAACTAAAACGAACATTAGGCCTACACAGTAAAATAAGGGATAAAGCCCACACTTTGTCTTTGTTATCGGACAAAAACTCATGACGACGCTGCCATTTTAGGTTAGACGATTACAAGTTTTCTGTTCCTTTAGCTTTGAAAGCATCCTTCCTTCCAAAGCATCTATTTGTGTGACCAGCCTAACAACATTGAATTCTACTGTCCTTTGTCTATAAGAGCATATATAAACAACGTTTTTGGACTTTTCACATTATATATATATATGCGATTTACAAATCGAAAATTTTTGTCGATTCGCCACATGAGCAATACGGTACGTAAAAATTGGCTATTCACAAAAACTGTTCATCAGCTGTTGGAATGTATTATGACATTATACTTTTTACAGAATGGAAGTTTACTTCATGCTTGTTGCAGTGGTACCACTTGTTTTTTGTTAGAAATAAAAATTATGTCTTCTATGATTTTTTGAAACGACTCATCTTTTACAATTGCGCAACGAAACATGGCACTCGCGAGTTAGCACGGTTTTTTCATTCAAATGTAACTCTTTATAAGATCGATATACTTATGTTATAAGGTTCATTCTTAATGAACTTCAGAATCTCATCTTTCCATTGGTCTAAGAGTTATGTCATTTCAACAACTATAACCGTGCTTAACATGCAGCAACGGAAAAAAACGTTACGCTAATCGACAAATTTTGTCGCCCGCCACTCCTAGGGTTAATAATAAAACAAACATGATTGCTTTCAGTCTAGTGACATAATTTTTTATAATAAATACCGTTTCTGTTTAACATTCGTGTTGTTAATCATCTTGTAATGGACTAACCCCTATTTAAGTACGTTATTAATTCTCGGTTTCAGTTTGAACATTATTAAATATTTATCACCTAGAGAACAAGTTAATTATTAGGTGTAATTGAATAAGTGTTTCATTAGTTTAATCTTGAACATTGTTATGGCTGTAGACAAAAATGACAGTAGTTTTAAATGAGATGAAAATAAAACGGAATCAATCCATGGCAACGTCAGTGTTCTCGTATTAGCACCAACTGGTTGGGCTGCTTCTAATATTAATAGCCAAACAATTCACTCAGCACTAAGATTAAATAATATATATCAAATTTTTATGAACTACAGGGGCGAATTAAACTAAATTTCAGATTTTGTTCAAAAACGTCCGAGTCTCAACTTCTGATGAAATATCAATGTGTGGGCAGAAGCTACTAGCAGTGATCGACAAACGCTTACATCAAGCGAAACCTGACAACCAAAATAAAGTATTTGGTGGCGTTACCAGTGTGGTGATTTGCAGTGGCGGCGATTGGGATTGAGAGATGATAGGGGGGGGGGCGAAATATAAATATATTTTTGATACTGCGTTCTCTAATCATTATAATCTTTATTCTATTTTACAAAACTCAGAGGTGATGTACTTTTGTATACTTTTCACTTAATACTGAAAGTTAATTATTGCTCACATGTTAATGTTGTACTAGTAAGTCTTACCATATTCTATTTGTCCATGGTCCTACCTATCTCTTTTTAGCGAATATCCCATATATAGGGAATATTAGCGAATTTCCCATATAGGGAATAAGCTATTAGCTTTTTCAACTACGTCTTACACACTGATAACGCCCGCACACAACTGAATGGCAAGGGTGGCATCGTGGAGGAAGGGGGGGGGGGGTTAAGGAGGAAGCTATTAGCATTGACTTTGTATCTCTACACAGAGTATAGAGTGTAGAGATATAAAGTCAATGCTATTAGGCAGGACAGCTATGCCAAGCAAGCAGTTCAACCACTACAGCAAAAACAAATTTCCCTTGGGGCCTGTGAGACTGGTGTTTTTATATATATGTTAAATAAACAAACAATAAAAAACGTATAACACTTAAAATCAAGTTTGTTGCACTCAAATTGTAAACTACACAACAAATCACTTGTGCAGAGAGGTTATTAGGTCAAGATGTAGAATAGGTAAAAAAATGTAAGGGCACCTACTGTGATGTCAAAGAACGAAAAATTTGAGCAAGTTGGTCTTGTGGTAAGGCACCTTGCTTTGATCCATGAGATCCCAGGTTTAAATCTCCCCAATCACCAAAGGCTTAGGCTATAATCATTCTGCTACCCTCTAAGCCTATTGTAAATTGGTATTTATAACGGCTCCGGGCTGGGTCTGACTTAGGGGAGGTACGAATGAGGCATTTAGTTCAAAATTCATCCGTGAACAGCGCTGTAGTAGAGAGCACTTTGGCAATGAAGGTTTACTAATCGCAAAAATAGTTCTGTTCATAAAATAAAATTATAAATGCCTCAAATTCAATTTTTTAATTTTTTAATTATAAAATTAAACTATCATAACCTAACCGAACTAACCAAACTTGCTGATAATTAAATAATATAAAAAAAGTTAAGTAATAGAAAAAATAATTATGTTTAATAAATAAAACTAGAAATTTCTCAATTAAAATTTTATAATGACTTAATTAATAATAAAATTAAACTGTCATAACCGAACCAAACCAACCAAACTTGCTGATAATGAAAAAATCTTAGACAAAAAGTTAATGCTACCAGCGGGATTCGAACCCGGGACCCACAACTCATCAGCCCGGCACGCTGACCACTAGACCACCGAGGCCAATGTCCACAACCCGTATTGTTACGGTAAAGCGTTCCCTCAGCTAATAAGAAGCCCACAGCTGTCACCGTAGGCTCTTCTATACCTCCCCTGAGTAAATACCCTCCGGGCTAGAGACTAGCATTGCATTATAAGGTAGAACAAATAAGCTGCACAGTAGACTCTTGGAAATTCAAAGTTGGTGGGTCGAGCAAATAAATTTTAACCAGTGGCTTGTAGGGACATAACCCCCTAAAAAGCTCAATAATGTAAAACAAATTATTCTAGCCTAATGTTTAAAAATTCAGAAATATTTTATCTATTTGTCAGAATAGATATCCCTGTACACCATATTGTTTGTGTAAAAAACAGTTTATTGTTTGTCTTTGTTTGCTTTTGTCTAGCACCCAGTTAATATTTCTAAGTTTATACTCCTTTTGTTAAGGTTTAACAAAATTAGTGTAAAGTAAAAGCATCCCATACTTAACGATAGATTTTTTTTCTGATCAACATAAACAAAAAACTGCAATTAGTGTAAGTGTATGTGGTGGTATTCCTCTTAAAGGTGCGATTGACTTTACAAATTATATCAAAATAGGCCTAATCATCGGCTGATTCCTAACTCTTTTGCGACTGGTTAGGGATCCATTACCCAGTTATCGAAACCAATCACGAAATTACTATTCATCAGCATTGACATGCATATTTTTGGTTTGTTTAAGAAACGGAAATTACCTCTAGGTTTTACTGTTATATGTGGATGCTCCCTTTAGTATTATATACGTACCATACATGCTAGGCTATATTATTTTAACCTTTTTTGCTTAGAGCAACAGACAGTACCTGTTTAAAATCTCCAAACAATATTTTTTTTTGCCCATTGGAACTCATAGTACTTTTAACAAATATATTTCCTGTACAAACCTATTCCATCTTTATTCCCGGGTTATTTTTTAAATGTACCGGTAGCCGTTGAGGTTATTCCACTTCATACAAAATTTTGATTAAATTTTAAAATAAAGAAAGTGTAGAATAAATCTTGAACATGTTTTTAAATAAACACAAAGCTGAAGTTTTCCATTTAATCTTGAATCGTTAATTATTTAGCCAATGTGGTTATTTAATGTTAAACGTTAAAAATACACAAATTTAAAAAGTATCTAATTTGGTGTTGAAATTTGGGGAATTTCTCTATTTTTCCCGCCGTCACGGGATAGAGACCTTTAATTTGAGCCCTCTCCCATCGTTCTACCACCCACAATTTTGACGCAAAGAATCTGCTTACCGTACGTAATTAATATATAGATGATCAACACTTGTTAGATTTATCAGAAGAAAAATAAACCAGAATTACAAAAAGTTCATTTTTCTAATGATGTATTGTGTAAGTGTAGTATCATAGGTTCCCCTAATATATGGCCGTGGCGAGACAAAAATGGCATCACTGCTCTCCCGGCAAACCTAAACAGCCGTAGCAGTAATTTATAATGGAGCGTATGCGTGTTGTTTATGTTCACGCATTTGTTATTACCATGGTAACAGGCATGTCGGTGTGACGTTGCCACACACAAACGGCCTTGTATTTGAGGTAGTATCCTTTATACTTTCTATTGTCAGCTGGTGGTATTGTTATTGAATCTTGTATCATAAATGACATTGACAAACTACTGTGTAAACAGGATGTATAGTTTCCTATTATAACAGGAAGGCATCCCTCCCTTCGAATTACTGCATGTTCCAAATCGGCCTGGACTTAAAAATACTGAGTGCATCTAAATGCATAGTAAAGCTTCGAAATAGGTCTATTAAGCCTCGGGTACGATACGAGTGTAAATAACACCCATCTCTAGCGGAAACCTGAGCTACAAGATGGATAAGCAATCAGTGTAAGTGGTGGTGGTGGCTACGATACAAGCGGCACATTTATGACGCTCATCAAATTTACCCGGTTGTAGGAGTTAGTTTGGTGGAAAATGGCAAACTGTGCTTACCCGCAAAACGTATTGCAATTATTGTTGCTATCTGACAATGGTTCGCCTTTGAAGAAAAACTTGGTTTTTAGAAGAAAAAAACAGCCCTTACTTCGTCCTATACTTTTCTGCTGACTGAAGTGTTTAAAACCTCCGTGTTGGTCATTCCACAATTTCCTGGACTGCACCCTAATGTATCAACAGGTATCGCACATTTGCTGCTGTTCCTCTGTCAATTTTGGCTGAACTAAAGCATGATTCACCTGAGCGGTGAGTGGCGTTTTCGCGAAAATCTGTTTTGACTTGGAACCTTGGGCGCGCTTATTGCCGCTCGCTGCATTTTGGCCACCCTCAACAAATTTACTTGCAATTAAATGAGACCCGATGTCAGAGCGGCACCGCTCACAACACTATCCGCTCGTATTGTCCCCGGGACCTTAAGAGATTCTCTACAGACTGAGCTTCTATTTTGAATTATTGCAAGTTTTGATTTATCGAGCGTTTTAATTATCAAGATTAGACTGTATTTACATTTAACTTTTGATTTCAGGGAGAAGGGACTGCAGTCTTAAGGCAGGTTGCATCACATCCCCACTACTCACCAGACTTAGGACCAGCAGAAAACCCGTTCTACTATGAAAACAACCGGTTACTTTACAACTTGTATATGGAACGAAGCCAGAGATCTGGTGGACCACCTTACTAAGGAGACAGGATATGTTCCAAACATATTGGACATCTATGGGATTAAGACTGCAAAATGTTCTGTGTCAAATTATTTATTAGAGCTTTATCTCTTTGTTTTTGCATTGTTATGCAGCCTACTAATGGTTTTTAAAGCATGAGTGTATTCAGAATGGTGCTAGTTAATAAGAACTTACTGTCCCATTTTATGTAAAGTATGTTAAATTGTCTGTGAATTAAATTCTGATTTAACAGTTCTTGCTCGACTCCAAATTTGGCGAAACTTGTGATTATGAGTGCCATTATGGATGGAAGGTTGAATAGTTTCATGTTGATATGGGAAGCCTCTGCAGTTGTGTGATCAATGCTAGCACAAAAGTTTTAGGAGATAATGTTTGGATGCCAAAGTAGATTTGAACAAAAACTTATCTTTGTAGAATGTTAGGTTGTGAAATTAAACCATTTTTGGGGAAAAAATTGTACCGTAGGCGATGTGTCTAAAAGTCAGGAAATATGTTTGTACATACATAAAAAATATTTATTAACCCTTTGAGTGCCAACGTCCGGGGAACCGGACGTTTTTAAAACGAGCCAAAAGTGCCGACGTCCGGCCGACCGGACGTTTTTAGAACGAGCCAAAAGTGCCAACGTCCGGCTGACCGGACGTTTCGTAATGATCGAACAGTTGTCATAACAACCGAATGGATACTCGGATTCTTTTAACCCATATATTAACATTGAGTCGAAAGTTACTAGATGCGATACATCGATTTTCGTTGGTCGAAATATCGAAAATTTGATTTTTACGAAATTTTAACCTAAAAATCGCCAGATCGCGCTCGGCATTTTTAGCGCGACCTTCGGGAAAAATCATCGGCATTTTTTTAGCGTTACTTTTATTTCTCGCCTGGCACTCTAAGGGTTAATTTCATGATAATTTCAATTATATGAAATATAATTAAATATAGGCCTATTATATTAATTTTAATTATATTAACTTGTACAACATCAATGCTGCCCTTAATCAACAACCATTACTCAATAAATTAAGTAAACCGAGTAAATTATTTATTTATGAACATTTCCATCATTAACAAATGTTCTGTATGCTGTAATTTAAAACCATATTATACTCTTGCATGTTTTCTATCATGTAACTATGTAATAGCCTATTCCAAGCAATGAAAACACTATTTATATTTTTTTCTGATAGATCTAGTCGAGAGGCATTTTGATTTGAGGCATTCAAAAATGCTTTTAAGAGAAGATTTGAAGGTTTTTGTAAAAAACCACTTCCATGGTTGATGTTAATTGCATTTATATATCCTTAAACCATTAGTTTTTCATGCATTTATGTTTTATAGCTCTCGCTGACTTTGAATAACTTACCAAACAAAATTAATAGTGCTTTCACCAATAATTTTACCTTCACTTCTTTTTGCTATTTTGTAAATTTCACAATATTTTTGGTATTTTCATTGTTAATTGTTAGTTAGGCCTAGTCCATGAAACAGTAATTCTATGGACAGTTTTTTATCTAGTTTAAAATTATTTATTGTCATTTTAAGAATAAGAATTTCTGCCACTCATCCCTATTAAAATTATTTTCTAAATTGTGCTGAGTACATATTTATGTGTAATTTTACAAGTTTTACCTTTCAAACTCCTCATTTGACTGATCTTAAAAGAGGTTAAGCTGTTATTAAATCATGTATTTTTTAGTGTTTGTAATTAAATAAGCAATTTATTCTTAGAGGAGACTACAATTATTCTAAGCCCTTCGACCCTCCTTTTTACATTTTAGAACTCAGTATGATCCAATAACAGTTAAATATATATTCCTTCTGAATTACATTAACCTTTCGGCTATACATAGACAACTTCTTAAACTAATTTTCAGACTCCATCCTTTATCATCTAAACCAATGTGTGTTAAAGCTAAAGGAGTAGCCTATGTTTTGGTATTTGAAAGTTTGTGACAGAGCTTTGCAATAATGTTAACAAAAATTCTGTGGTCTTATTTTAAGGCCTTTTAATGATTTGAACTGTATGTTTGGTTATAAAACCAGAATTCGAGCTATACTGTTTTAAATGTTTATTTTATTTGGCTGGAATAGTTTAAATAGTTCAAATAACCAGTCGAAGATGGTGAAAAATGCCTTACAAGGGACCAAATGGAACTAACATTAAAATATTCCACATAAGGATGAACACGTATGTTTAATCTATGGTAGTATTGCCTTTATATCTACCTACATTTGTAGATATAAAGTCAATGATGGTAGGGATCAATGCTGCTCGCTGATTATAATGGTGATATACTAATAAAATAACATGCGTAACAATTTGGTTGAGCATTACCTATCATTAAACAAAACCAATCGCCTTCAAAACAAGCTTTTCAATTTTTTCTAGCGTTTGCTGTTTTTTAGAAAAAGTTAATTTACAAAAGTCACAACAAAAACTTTTTGGGTAGAGTAAAAATTCTGAAACTACACAAATTATTTCATTATATATGTGTCTATATTGTATTAGAGTTTGATAAAGTTCTGACGTTTAGTTTACATTGTGCGAATTTTCAAAGTCATAAGATGGTTTTTGATACTCTAAAACAGGGAGTTTTTACCTTCCGACTGTCATAAACAATTTCCTAAACGAGCTATTTTTTTTGTTTTTACAGGAATACGTAGAATAAAACAACGAAAATTTATTTAATACTACGTGTTTTTCTTAGTTTGTTTGGTTACTTTTCTGTAGAGCTCCAAACTCGAGTGTCTAAAATTTTTTCCCCGACAGTAGGGCCATCGGCCTCGGTGGTGCAGTGAAAGCGTTCCTGTTCCTGGCTGACAAACTGAAGGTAGCCGGATCGAACCCCACCGATAGCATAACATTTTTGTCAACGATTTAGCTTAGAATGCAATAATTCCTAACGGTAGTACATCTTTTGTTAGAATTTTAGGCATTTATCATTTTATTTTATGAACAGAACTGTTTTTTTTTCGATTAAAAATCCTTCATTCGATTTTTTCATTATCAGCAAGTTTGGTTGGTTTGGTTAGGTTATAACAGTTTAATTTTATTATATTTTTTCTTAATTTTATAATTAAGTAGGTATGACGTCATGGATCAGAAGCCTCCAAATGACACTGTTGGCAAAACTAATAGTGAAATAAAAATTACGCGTGCTCTCTACTACAGCCAGCGCTGTTCAAGGAGGAATTTTAAAATAAACTATGATGTCATCGTTGCCTCTATTTATACCTCCCGTAAGTCAGACCCCTAACTACAGTCACTCTTATTAGGAACATCGTTGATTCTCAATGTTTATGTCGATATTATTCAATATGGGGTAACAATGGGGAAACCCCATTCGTAAAGGTTGCAATATTTATTTAGCTGATAGCTGTTTAAACCAATGTTTGAGTACATTTTAGCGAATTTCCCATATAGGGAATATATATATGTCCGTTGGCACAATTACTCTAGCAAAAATTATCTTATTTTGATGAAACTTTGTACAAACGTGTAAACCTACGTTTATTCATCGATAAAACATACTACGGTTTATTCAAACGAGTTCGCGAACCAGCATAATCGGACCAAGGGAACAGGGGTTTATGGGGGGGGGGGGGTTAAGTGGTAAAAATGGGGGTTTTCCATTTTTGACACTAAATTAAAGATTTTGCAATTTCTTTCTAAACCATTTTGTAGAGCTTGAAAAAATAAATAATTTAGTATATTGAAGCGCTGTTTGTATCCCTAATGGTTACAGAGAAAATAAAACAAATTGATTTAAAATTCCCATGTCATTCTTATGGAGAAAATGAAATTTGTTGTAGTTTACTTGTTTGTGGATAAATGTTGATACAATTAGGCAAATTTATTTATTTCATCCTATACTGTTGATGGGAACCAAGGACACAATAAAAAAACGCGCCACGTCAACCAGCCACCACGTCAACCCACCACCAAGAAGAAGAAGAAGTTTGAGGTGGTGGGTCGACTAGGTGGCTCGTTGTCGGGGTGGCACGTTGACTAAAGCGAACACTACAACCTGCCACCACGGATAAATGTGGGTGGCGGGTTGTCGTGGTGGCACGTTGTCATGGTAGACAGACTTGTGCATAGGGTGGGTTCCATAATATCGACAACCGTAGAAATTGATCGAAACTGAATTATTCCCAGTTTGTCGACACTGGAATATTCCCACTTAACCGACATCCCAAATAACCGACGTCGCAAATGATCGACACCACAAATTGTCGACATCCCATATTGTCGACAATGAAATAGTTTCACTATGTCGACACTGAAATAGTCCCAGTATATCGACAAGCTCCCGTTCTTTGGAGCTACTCTTGAAAAGGAGTTGTTCTAATTCATCGTTCAGTTCCTCAACTCACGAGTCGCAATATTCGATTCCGGGTGTATTCCGAATTCCGACGGACATCTTCAAGCTGACCATTTAAGTTATTTATTGACTAAAAACTTTTAAGTATATTGTAAATATTTATCTTTTTTATTTCTTTCCTTGTTTACAATAAAATAGATGACTCGAGTGTTACAAACAATAGTTTTTAAGGAATAATGTGAAATAAGTTAATTTTTATAGGGTAAATAACTTAATCAACATGATAACTTAATAACATTAGTCCTACAGTACCATACACTAACTTAGGTAAGTCACCAACAAGAACCTACAGCTTATTCGTAGGCTAATTCTGGATCATCAAGCAACATTGTAGCAAATGTTTGGATAGGCACTATCCCTAGGCTATTAGGATTGTCTCTTTTTCCCACTGACCCAGTGTCAACTTTAAGAATTTGTTTAAGTTATGTAAAAATATTTGGCTGCACTTTAGTTTATGTCCTACATTCATTCAAATGAAATATATTAATACATAGACTATTTAATATTTTCAATATTTTATTCCGTTAGTTAGGTTAGGTTTTACCCTAACATTAACCAAAATTGATATAGGCCTAAGTTTATTGAATGAAATAATCAATATGACTGGGACAGGTGGCGTTGTCCTGTAATCCAGAGAGCTACTAGGAGGTCACGAATTGTGGATATTTATAGGCTTGCACTGTGGATGCGATACTCCCTGGTGTGGATTAACCCTCCGAGTGTCACGTGTTTTGGCCTTAATGTCAGCCTATTTTTTGCTCATTTGCAAGGTTTTATTAAAACTGATCTGAGAAGCTTAAAAACAATGTTAATTATACTGTTCTATATACCATTTCGTTTGGAAAATCTTGGGCTTCAATATTATATATAAAACATAAGGAAGATTTAAAAAAAAAAAATTTTTTTAGGTAAAAAAATGTATAATTTCGAAAATTTTCAAAAAAAAATAAGTTTGCGCTCAATGAAATTGTATAAATTATAGGCCTATAAATATTTGAAAATAGCCACTTTGTTCTAAATTTTATGAGGATTACAAATCTATAATAATATAAGGAAGTAGATTTGCAAATAAAAAAGTTATGGGCAAAAAACAGATTTCAGTACATAGCGTTTAGCTAAGAATGCATAGCCCAACCATAGCTAGGAATCTGGCTGATAATTTACATCAATATCACTACCTACTTCTTCAGGATCATCAACCAGCACTTCAAAACCACTTAAATCTTCTTATAATGCACCACGTATATCACTACTTTTGATTTTTAACACTAAAACAATGATAAACGTAATAAAACACATCAGTCATCGGTCCGAGGGTAACCTAGCTGTTTACAAATACACGCACGTCAGCTGTCTGCCACAATATTTTCGGAACTAAAATGAATAGTGCTTAGAGACAGACCTCTGGAGAAAGCTTAGAATATTACGGACAGAACGATACCTAACTCAATCCAGTACAGTCCGATTCAGTTAGTCATAGAGCCTTCGCCGTAAACAGTGTTCGCGAGTCGCTGCAGCGACGCACGACACTATACAAAGTGGGTTACGCGTCGCTGCAGCGACGCATGACACTCGGAGGGTTAACGTCCGCACGAGTGAGTACTACGACTATCCGCAGTACTATCCTGATAATTATACCAATTCGTATATACCAAGGCAATAATGTGGTTCGGATTCCACTATAAACTGTAGGTCCCTTAGTTGCCATTAGCTGTATGGGCTATTAATTAACAGCTGTGTCTAAGGAATGTCAGCCTTAGTCACTAACGAGACTACAAGATCGCGCCACTCATCCTGATCCTACACTCATTTCCATTCATACTTGGCTTAAAATACGGTACCTACTTTGTATGGTCGCCAAGTAATAAGAAAGAAAGTTTAAAGAAATATATTCATTGGAATGAGTGTAGGACGTAAAATTATGTGCTGTCAAATATTCTAGAGCTGTTTGTATTTGGTGTAAGACTAGACTTGGATTATATAACTTAATTCATTGCTCATGACATCAATGTTAATTTTATAGATGATCCTGCAGCAAAGGCTGTAATTTGACCTGAACCCAAATTGGTCTCTATTTTAAATATTGTCTTGAACCAATAAGTTAAGAGGACTAACCTTTCTGGATGACATTGCCATCGACATCACTGCAGATGAGAGAGAAAGAGAGACCAGAGTTGTGGACCCTGGAGGCAATTACCATACTGCCGATAATGTTACTTGGTCTAACCATAACTTAAGTGAGGTGAGTCAACATTCTTTCCCCTTTGTGATAGATTCTAGGCTATGTTTGTTAACTAAGTTATTCAAAGTTCAAATCGGTACTTTGGTAAGTATTATCCGGA